TGCTCATCAGATTTTTACAGCATTAATTTAAATTCACTTAACCAGTAGCAAATGATAACCTGATCACTTTTTTCCCCTAAAAACAAACCGTTCTATGCTGTTTTATGCTGCTATTCAGCTGATCCCAGGAGATTTCAACAAGCACAACCTCCTGGACAAGGTAAATCGTGGATGCATGCAGCAGGAGGACAGGATGGAGACAGAGGAAAGACTTCTCTCACTGTGGGGAGTGAATTGCTACACTGGTTCATTCACACTGAAAAACTGTACATTTAATATTAGTAGCATGTTTAATTATTGAAGCACTCTGTACTTGTCTGATGCCTTTTATAAGAAGTATTTAGGAAATTCCATGACCTACACGAATATCAACATCATCACCAAAATTTCTTCCAAAAGTTATACGGACAGTTAATAGACTAGACTCTGAACTAACTGGAAAACCCAAAGCTTCACCACTCGCTTTGAATTTTGCATGGATTTTTTTCCTTTATTACTTTTATTGGAAGTGTTGTAGACAACATTTAACATGACAAGCTGAGTATGCTGGTTCTCCATTCGGGAAAGGTGATTTGCCACCAAAAATAAAACCAAAATTCTGCGAATGCTTCCCTGTACCTGGAGGCCGACGCGAATTCTCTTGGTGAGCGCGCCTTCCGGGAAGACTGCCTGCACCTGTGGGACCACGGTGCTGCTCAGCACCCCTCCCTCGGGCCCGATCAGGTTGCTGTCCTGTTTGATCCGGGACACCACTGCGAAGTACTGAGGGAAATCCCGGGTGATGATGCGGCAGATCCGCTTCTTCTCAAGCTCCTCTGGAGTGTCAAGTACTGAGGGCCGAAGAGGGGATGGTCAGAAGAGCAGAGTTTCATAGATACAGTACAACCACCTTCAAAAACGCACTCAAGGTTTTCACAGTTTTGAGCAATTTACACGAAGTATTTTGTCCAGAAATAAGGGCAAAAGGAAACACACCCCTGTGTTCAGCTAAACCAGAGCAGTCAAGAAAGGACAGACAGACATATGGAGCCATGAAGTGAAAGCAGCAAACAGAACACATTGTCAGCACCTCTAAGATCAGCAGCCAAACAAGCCAAGGGATAGGTTCCAGCCCCTTCTACCTCACCTATTTACCATGTCCTGAACTAGTATCGACAAAACAAAACTTCAAAACACTATAAAAATATGAGTTCAGCTTTAATGCTGTGAGTTGTCTTGTTTACTTTGGAATGTGTGAGGTTTTTTTGAAAAAAAACCAAAACAAATTAATAACAACTTCTGCAGCTCCTAGAGAGCCCGAGGCCCTTCTGTTCTCTCAGAAAGCAGGAATACCCGTGACTGGCATTTCCTCCCACACATGGAGCTGCTCTGAAAGAATCAGTATGGTAATTGCCTTGTTTTGGAAAGATGTTTGCTATGGAAGCTTTTTGTTTAACTCTACAAGAAGGAACAGGGGAAAACAAAAGTCGGGAGTCTTCACAAAGGGAGACATCCTGTCCTACTGCTTCAGCACCCCTTGCAAAGGGAGAGAGCTGCTATCCCCAGGGTACAGGAGGAACACAAGAGCAGGATAAGAAACCAAGTGCCTCTGGATACCTTCATCCATCCCATTCAGGATTTCGTTCAGTTCATCCTCAGTGTATTCACAGAAATGCTCCTTCCAGCTGTCCCCGTTCTCGCTGCGCAGGATCACCAGCTCTCTCTCCTTCCCACGCAGGGCAGCAAAATGGGGAATCTCCACAATCACAGGCCTGGCACAGCAACACAGCACATTAAAGGCACACGGGAGAGAGGAAGAAACAGGATTAACAGCAACTCTATTCAGTCTGCTACAAAGTGACCTGGAGTTCTACCTATTCAGCTGGAATACTTTGGCATAATCCTAAACTAGTAGGCCACTAACACAGACTAGATTGTTACAGGGACCCAGTAAGTGCTGAAGGACAGATGAAAAAGTGCATTCACCTCTTTCCACAGTGTGAATGAGATTTGGTAAGATTAAAGTGCTTATCTGGAAATTTGGTGATTGTTTTTGCAAATCCATCAAAAACTCATGCTCGTTTTAGTTGTCACTACTGTCTGGGTTAACCTGTGCAACTTCATTTCAAAGAGAATCTACTGTAATAGGAATAGTGGGACAAATTCTGATCTCACTTATACTAGTGCAAATCAGAATAATTTCATTGCAATCTGGAGGCGATTGTGTCCTGTGCCAATTTCACTTTGTAATTCTATATATTCCAATGAATTTATTCCTGATTTACACCCTGGGAGAGACACAAGAAGTCTGAGGAGATTGTCTGGGTTACTGCTGCAGTATAAGAGATAAGAATTTGCCTTGTTGCCTTGCAAGTCAACATCTGCACCAGCATATGTGCCCATATATATATACACACACACATATACAGCACATATGTGTACATATATTATATCTGTATTGAGATATATATACATATTCTTAGAAATAAGAGAGAAGATATAAAGATATTTGTAGATACACTTCTCTCATTGGAAGACTCACACAGGTTACCAGGTATGTAGTAAATGCCATGTGTTCTATCACGCTGGTGGTATCCAACATATAACTTATTGATTGATCGGTCCTTGATACAAAAGAAACAGTTTAAAATTTACAGTAGATTCTTTTTTTTCTTTTTTTTGTGGTCCCAATCCAGGTTGCTTTGCTACAGACATCAAGCACATAACTAGGAAGATTTCATGCCAAAACAAAAATGAAGGCCACAGTACTTGAAGAAAAAGATACAAACATACCACCAAAACAAAACCACAAACCACAAAGTTTGAAAAATGGTCCACTAAAGGGTTAAGTGTACAAAATTTCAAATGATAGAAAGGGACAATATCATGGGCATAATGACATAAAAAAATCATATTGCAGAAGGAGGAGAAGAATGGGGAGGTCAGCATCCATCAATTTGTTTCAAGTCTCTCCTACCCAAGGAATTTGGTCCCAGGAGGCCCCAGCTGAAGGATTCGGCTGACCAAGCTTTCTCCCTCATTAAGTGGGGGAGGAGCCGTAGGCAGATGAAGTTTACTGAGTACATCCAAAGCAGCAGTGAAAGAAAGAACATAAATAAACTTTATGTATTTTTTGTGCCAGAACGCCAGTGCCACTGTCTGGTCCACAGAGTGGAATTAGGCTGTACACTGAATAAGGTTCCGTCCTAGCCACGACAATTTGGTGACCCAAATCAGAAAATTAGTTTTGTTAATTTAGGATCTTTTCTTTTTTTATGGGGGTTTTGGCCATGTACTCAATGGGAGCAGGATCTGGACCTTAGAATGCAACCTGCAAACAGTACAGCAATTCTCTGATCTCACTGCCAGCACAACACCTTGGAAAACACTTCCAGGAAGGGCACAAAGATGTGAGAATGAAAAAACTACACTATATGCTTGTCTTGCAGGGGAGACATTCTTATCAGATAGGAAAACCATTAAAAAAGAAGGGAGACATACTTAAAATCCATTTGTGAGTAACAAAGATAATGGGAAGACTGAATGTGACAGCACAGCATTTCTTCTGCTCTTTAGATTTCTTTCTCCTTCTTTTTAAAAATGACCAAGATGTGAAAAGAATAAGTGGTAGCACTAACAAAGATGGTGGCTCTGATGACTGCCTGTTATAACAGGATTCTAAAGCAACTGAGTTCTTTCCAAATGAATTTAAACTAGTGGTGCTTACAAGCCACTTTTTTTACAATTTCTGAATGAAGTTATTTACTGCATTAGAAGGGGTTCCTTCAATCATCCACTTTTGGACGTCACAGCTGATAGGGAGAATAGTCGGTAAAACAAATCTTTGAAAATACAGATAATCACCGCTTTCAGCTGAAAATTGCTAAAATGAGCTCAGCAGCAGACAAAAATCTGATCTTTCTATGGGCTATGCAGCATAGGAAGAAAGAAACGGCAAAAAAATCCAGAGGTGTCCTACTGTTTAATGTAGCAATTTCAACCCCAGAAAAATCAACAGCTCTGCTCTTCCCTGATAGCCCACATTACCAATATCACAACACAAGACTCAAAAACAAGCTCCTGTACCTTGTGTTGTGTAGCAGGCTTCACATTTGGAGGTTAGATCAACGCAAGTACTATTAATTTTTAAAATATAGCATGAACTGCCTTTTCTGGCTGCAAAAGTCTTTTCCCACTGTAATATCACAACAATTATATCCAAGGAGGCACATTAACCATAGCATTGATATTTGAAATACCCACGTTGAACAAAAAGGTTTGCAAATCGCTCCCTGACAGCTGCTCTGCATTTCACACGACTGCTCTGTTTGTTACCACACGCTACAGAGAACTTCTCAGTCCAAAGGAACCATTTCAGTGCAACGCAAACACAAAAGAGGCTGAAGGTTTCCTTTCGGGCCACGTGGCCCCCCTTACCCAAGGAACTGAGCCCCAGAGGGTCCCACTTCGATGAGGCGGCTGGCCAGCCCTTCTCCCTCCACCATGGGCGGCATGGTGGCCAGCCTGTGGCGCTTCACCAGGCGGCACGTCACGCGCGTCGGCGCCGTGCACTTGCGCGGGGGGATGATGATGCGCAGCCCGTTGTGGCGGCAGCCCCGCATGGCGCCGCCGCGAGCGTCCACCATGAAACTCACCAGGAAGCTGCAAAATCAGGGCAGACAGTGAGACCCAGAGCACAGCACCAACTCCCTCGGTTACGCTCCACATACGTACGAATGACGTACGTAATTAGAGCTCTTGCTCAAGAGGTACAATGAGAAAAAGCCTTTGTCCCATGTGAAGCACCAAATCATGCCGAGTTCATTATTAATTAAACTGGCAACTACTACCCAATAGTTCTGCACAGAAAGTCTTACATCACAGGGCTGCTGCTGGTAAAATATCAGCAGACACCAATAAAATGTAAACACGTGTACCCATTGAAAAGTGAAAATACTGCTACTCTGCACCTGCAAGTTGGCACTCTTTAAATACTTCATGAGCAAATACATCTTATGGAAAAAAATTATTTATTATTCAAAAATATAAAGCCAATTCTGATTGGATGGCTCAGATTTTTTAGGTCTCTTTCTTTAGATTCTCAATATAATTTTCTAGTAATTTGATAAACTATAATGTATATAATTTATAATTTTTAGAAAAATGGGTTTGGATATTAAAAAACCATCAAATTTCATTATGGGATGCATGAATACAATTCATACTCCATCAGTGGGGTTATCATCTATTTATATTAAAAAAAACCCATCATGTCTTTGCGGTTTGAAGGCAAATGTGGGGGTTTGGTCAGATTAGAAGAGCTAGAGTTACTATATAGATGGTTTACTTAAAAATTTTGGGTTTTCTGTGTTACCTTGCACAGCAATACAACCCACTGGAAAACTTAGCGATGCAGAAAGTCATCTGCAGCGATGTACCTACGCCTCACATAAGGAAAATTATTGATTCCTTTTTCTTTAAAAGGAAGGAAAATTTAATTTTGTTTGGAATTTCTCTAGGGCTGAATTTTTTGTTGTTCCACATATACTGACAGGTAGATTTTGACAGACTGAGGACATTCTTGGGGAAGGTGTAGAACTACTTCAAATTTTTTCTTTTACTGTTTGATTACAGGATCATGCCTGATGTGGGACGGTAATGTCAGGTTGCTGGAAGTGAAAATAAGAATAGATGAGACAGAACGGTGTCAGGCCTACTTCTAGCCACTAATATAGAACCAGCACAATGGGGAGTCGCAGAAATGCTATTGAAGGACCTGCAATAGAGAAAAGCCCTTATAACAGGAGTAACAAACACAGGGATTTTTCCACTGCCCCTTGACCGTTCTGTGCAACAAACATTGCATCCATTCACTGTCCACACAGCTACAAGAATTCCACATGCTGTAAAAACACAACACTCGACACACCGTGCAGGTCAGAGATGGACGATGGGAAGGAGCCACAAGCGCCAGTCGGAAGCACACCATGCACCACGGATGCCAGTCTGTCTCACACATGCAGGCTCCTAGTCTACTGCCATTCAGATACCTCTAGGCTTTGCTTAGGGCAAAACTCTGGGTAGTACAACCATTAGCTCATTCCTTAGAGGTTGGTGTTTCTGTGGTTTTAACAAGGGGGAAAAAAAGAAAATGAAAACATTTTACAGCTTCGATAATCTGGGGATTTGTTGAGAAAAATGGGAGCTTCCTTCACAAAATACATCCTTTGTACATATTAGAGCACAGATGAAAAAGAGCTTAAGAGACACTAAATGCTCAATTGTTGCACTAATGCTCTTAGGTTGTGCAATGTCCCTGAAGTACATGAAGTAGTGTTATCAAAACGGTTCTGCGTGATGTTTCAGAGAACGTGTCCAAGTCTCCAGTACAATGGGTGTGTTTGAGGCAGTCAATGACACTGCTGGAAGAAGAGTTTCTCATTTTAAAGCTGCTGCTAAGAGCAACACAAACACTCCTCCACAACTCCCAGAAGCTAATGAAATCTCTGACTGAATTAAAGCAGCATCCAATTGTGTAAACTGTCATGAACACAATATTTAGGATTCAGTTATTTTCATTATTGACATAATACTCAAGACTGTATGCTTTAACACCTGTCCATCACTAAAATATTAGTGCTGGGTCACCTGCTGTCCCATGCTCTCCCTTAGTTTATCTCCCTACTTGCCTCAGCAATGCCAAACCTGCTGTTCACTGCTAGAACAGTGACACAACAAAGGTGAGGATCCAAACCGAGTCATTTCCCTTCCGCCCCTTCTGGGTTCTTTGCTAAGTATGGTTCCAACACCTTCTTTCAGTTTGGGTTTACTGAATGTGCCTGGTGGGTCAGTAAATCTATCACAAAGTCTATCTCACTTCACTGGAACCAACCACAGCTCCAAGGAGTGGAAAAATAGGCAGATCTAAGTCTCATTGGGAGGTGGACACAAAGATAAGAGTTCTAAGATAAAACCACTAGGATATTATTATTATTTACTGTAAAAACAGATGTTTCTGTCATAAAGATCTAAGGTTGTGATTCAGACAGCACAGAAAGATTAGTGCCAATTATCACTGTAACTATGGAGGAGCCAGTTCCCAAACCCAGCTATAGAATACTATGAAATTGCTGGGAAAGAGATTCTGGAGAACTAGCATGATTGTAGTGCAAAATAAAGAAGCTGAAGGGGAAAGTTTGTGAGCTTTAGACCTGTAGCATAATCCTGGAAGGACAGAACACTGACACAGGGTTTGCAGACACAGAGTATAAAAATGCATCCTTTTCCACTCTACCGCTCTGCTTATTTCCCACCTTTTTACTACATTCATTTTATCATCCATTTATTTAATCCAATTTATTTTCATCCTTTTTTTTCTTTTTAAATCAGCACATTTCACATAATTTTGGTTACGCAAGAGAGTGAAGCAAGTAGTTCATAAGAAAGCCTTTTCTGAATCACAGCAGCCTCTTATCCTGCCTGTGTGCAACACTACAGGACATCTGGCCATTGCCATTCCAGGACTGGAAAAGTTTTTCCCTTCTGAAGGAGTGTGTCTATCAATATACAAATAATTCATACAAAATTAATGCATGACATAAAACACTTTTTCTAAAGTGTGCATTTAGGAAAGTGAAAAATTTGCATGACTAATATAGAGTAAATGTTAAATTCAAACTAATTATTTTTTTGCCCACGCACACACATTATTTTTCCTCTTCCACCTCATTACCAAGTGTTGTTAAGTGACGAGACTGAGACAGGAAGAGAATGTACTCAACAAACAACACTAGCAGGGATAAATGGCAGATGAAGCCATCACTATGGGAAGTGATACCTCATCATGCTCAATTCCCACCACCAAAAAGAAACCAGTGCATAACACTAGCACATGAACAACCCTAACATCCCATACACTCCCTGAAGCCAAGCAGCAAACTCAGACCTTACTCCATGTTCCAACTACATGGAGCACTACTACAGCACTATCAGCCACCTACATACAGAGAGTGAAAGGAAGAGGGATCATTAAAGAGAAACACAAATGGCAGAGAAGAGTACAAGAAGGGGAAAAAAAAGAAAGAAAACCCCAGTTAATAAAAGGGACTGAAGGAACTTGAACTTAAAATTCAATTAAGTGATGACTCAAATGAAAGCAGATTGCAGGTTAAAGCTGCATTTTTCTCAGTACTAAGAGAGCCTTAGGGTAAGTTTCATTTCCAGTTTTAAAGGTTTTGTTAGAAATTAAGCATGACACAACCATGTGATCCTGGCAGTCTTGCAAATTGGATCAATACTGAGATTTCCTGAGCTTTGGCAAGGTGGCAGCACAACATAATAGCCAAATTGGTGAAACAAATCAGGTTTGGGAAAATCATTGCCTTCTCTGTTTTAAAGAGAATAAAGGGGAATACAGAACTACTTTTCTAAAGAAAAAAAACAAGTACAAAAGCAATTATTTTGCAGGAATCAGTTACCGACTGCATAGGAGTCTATAGATGCTTCTGTTTAATACACAGCAGTCAGCTCAAGCATCATCCATTCTTTCTCAATTTAGCAATCTTACTCATAAATTAATTACAGAGGCCATTTCATTCTCTTCAATTCTAGAGCAATTAAGAACTACATGCTTGCCACATGAAAGATATATCAAATAACACTCGCTATAGTGGCCTTGTGGTTGAGTACATACACAAAAGCCCCTGAATCCTTCAGGTTGTTTCCTTCTATAGCAAATGAAGCAAACAGCTCTCAGGGCTTTTCTACTTGATCAAAACAGAAACAAAATATATGCATTGGGTAGAAGGGGAAAACAGCTGGGGTGTATTTTCATGAAACATTTGCATTTCAGGTCTAAGCCTGAGTTATTGCCTGTGCCAATTTTATTCATTTAGAATTAACTTGGTTTTATTCTGTACTTATTCTCATGTGAAAGATACCAGCAGGATGAACAAAGGCACCAGAAACGGGATGTGTCAGTGCTGGAGAGGGTGAAGGAAGCTGCTTGTTGTGTGCTTTGTGAGGAGTCCCTGTTGTGTCAAGAGCTTTGCAGAGACAGAGTTTCAGGTGGGTTTCAGTTTCAGCTGCGACCGCAAGCATGGGGGCAACTCATTCTGCGAAGTCATCAGGAGAGCCATGCAAACCCAGCAGCTGAGGGGGCTTTCTAGGACAGGCACCAGTTCTTGGAACACACAGAATCAAACTACACAAAGTTTCCACCACCACTTCCATACGCTGGGCTCGGGGACAGTTGCTCCTCCCGAGCAGCTGGGCAGGCACACATGCGCTCGGCAGATAGCAGGGAACAAAGCTCCAACCAGAGCATACCCGGTGTAGACAGTCAAAAATTTCTCAGCACACATTATCTCAATTTATAAAAGAAACTGGGAAACAAGGAGATAGCAGCATTCAGTGTTAGTCGCAGTGTGAAGCAGCAGAAACAAACTCAGGGTGCTTCAGCCATCGGAAAGTGTTCAGTGGGAGAAGGAAATCGGAGAGAGGCTGAAACTCAGAAAAAAGGCCTTGATCCAGCTCCCACTGAAGTCAACAGCAAAGTCATTCAACTATCTCAGAGTGCTTTCCAGCAGGCTGCAACTACGCCATCCAGAAACAAGGCAAAATTCACATTCCAGGAGGACAAAAAACATGATCCTAACATAGGAAACTGCTACAATATTAACTTCCAACAACATTCTCTTCAATGCATTAGTTAGCTGCTGAGAAATTCTGTGACATGGCCTAAACATATGGGTTTGCAGTTTAGGGGTTTAATTAGCCACTTTATAATTTTACAGAGCTGAATATTTAAGGCAATTTTCACCTTTCTAGGATTAGGCTGAAGCAGGTGGATAGGTACTGGGCCAATTAACACTCATTTTGCCAAGGGAAGATAACCTCCTCTGGGAAGGTTCAATTTCAGGTGTTCTGTGTAGGATGTAATGTGCCAGTGGTTCAGGCATTGACCGACCATCACACAAAAAAGAGGTGTGGCATGAAAAAGAAGATATACTAAGTCTGGGCTGTATTCTACTAGTTTAAACATGGTGGCACAATTTAAAAAACGTGACTGGCTCTGCAATATTCTTTACACAGACAAGTGAGATAAAAGGTCCGCTTACTAATATAATTACAGTGGTTTGCATTGAATTATCTGAGGGGGGACTACTTCTTTAAATGTTAATATTAAACCACGCCACCAACAAAGAAAAGATATGGTTAAATACATCAATGGTTAAAACAGGCTAGGATGGTACAAGGAGCTTTGTTAAGACTTGTTGCAGTGGGCTTATGAAGTGTCCAGAATTGCTTTGTTATAGATGCCCAAGCAGATGGGACAAAGCGGGCACTTACTGTATAAGACAAGTCGTGCCATACATAACTATGACTGCTGGTTAGATTTTATTTTTTTTTCTCTTGGCTAATGTGCACTATCAAAATACTAAAGCATCCTGAAGTGAGGTAAGAGGAGAGGATAAAAAGGGTGGGTGAGAAGTGCAATGTATTAAAGAAAGAAATTATGCAGAAGTTCACCTGCTGTTGTCAAGATCAAGACATGGAGAAGAGCATCTGCAATAGAATAGATGGTTTAACATCAAAAAGGAACAGAAGGGGAGGAAAAGAATGAGTTAAAAGAAATACTGAAATACTGGAAAAATGAAACAGATTTCTAAAGCAAACACATGAACATATACATATATATGCATATTCCTCACACGTGGGAAGGTAGGAGTGAGTATGGAAAACAAGCCTACGTGAACAGCCTCAGTTCCAAGTGGCCACTACCAGTACAGCAGTGAAACTAGAGGGATCTGGTTTCTCTATGTACATCCTCACACTGGAAGGCAGACACCTAAAACACACAGCTGGATTCCAAGTAAAACTTTCAGAAGCAGATAAAAGGAAATGCTGCTTGGTTTAGGTATCCATATCTAAAATGTTGACAGTGGGATACCACAGGGTAAGGAACCTAAGGTCATTCCAGCCAGTATTCCTGAAAGCACAATATATCATGCTTTTCTTTTCTTCAAATCCTCTATCAATACATTGTTCTCCATTCCATTTCAACATGTTTCTTGTCCTCCTTTTTTTCTACAAAACAACAAATTTCAAACTCTCATTTTGACCTGTTTAGGCTCTCAGTAATCACTTAGTGTCACATGGACAATTAGTTTTCCAATGTCCTTTTTCATTATATGGATCTCCATTGCCATTTTCTTACAATGACATGCTTTGCTATTAATAAAACACACTCACTGTTTTTCCTCGTTGTAACTTTCTGAACAAAGGCCATAAAGCTGAAGCATAATTTGCAATCATTTAGACTTTCAGATTTAAGAAATGACTATCAGCTGGTCGCTGCCAGGTCCTGTTTCCATAACGATTTCCAGGAAATCAATCTCACATCGGGAAAAATACATTATGGATTCAAAATACAACACTGGAAATATATTTTGTTTACCTTGTTAGCAAGGATCCAGCCTCCTTTTTTGCAGACATGCAGCTAAGAATGATAATTCACATTATTTGTCACGGTACGAGCTGCCCAATCCCGCTTCTCATTGATGGAAATAATGACTTCCAGCAAGATAAACTCACTAATAATATCCCAACCATGTAATTTATTTCCAAGATACAAGTAGTGACACACTCTGACCCATCCATTAGTCAAACAGGAACTTCTTCAGCAAATTATACACAAGAAATCAGGATCTTTCCTCAAACAGGAGTTTTGCTGTGAGTCAGAGCTGGAAAACCCGCAGAGCTGCTGCAGATTTGCTCTAGAACACAATACCAAGTCAATATCATAGCAGGGACCCAAAGCTCCTTGCTCACAGTGCCATGATCCCGACAACACGTCAGATTTGCTCTCTTATCTACTGTGCCTCTACAGAGCTGGCAGAAAAAATCTTAGAAATATAATCTATACAACTAATTTCACTGCATCACCAGAACACAGGTAAGAGAACAACATAGTTTTGCACATCATTAATACTTTAAAGATCTTACAGTCACCCTTATCTTTACCATTCATGCATATTCTTATGGGAGATAAAAATATGGTACTGCCAAGAAATGTCTAAATGCTGCAAATCTTTCAGCCGAGTGATTTTTTTGTCTTCCAACTTAATAAAAATACACATGTTCTACCACAATAGCATATTGTGTGGCATGAGACTAAAACTGTGAAACATATTTGCATTTATGTAGGCAGTAGTTCTGTCTCTCACATTCCAGCAGGAGATTATAAATAATATCCCCTAATATCAGCATCAAAGTCATAAAACTCTATCCTATTGGATATTCAGGCCCAAACTTTTGGTATAGTCAGAGATCGTTAACTTTGCTCCCTATGTAAGATCAAGTAATTTTATGAGAAGAAGAAAATCTGATTTGCTTGAAAGGGAGTGTAAGTGCAGGAATTGATATTTTTTTCATCAGCTGAAGTAGGAAACTACCTGGAAACTGTCAGCTGTGTAAAATGACCAAGAGACCTTTAAATTGAGATTTTGAGTCCCACAAGACCATTACCTCTTAGGAGAGAAATATTTTTGGGGTTTCAAAATGGTTGCCAAAGACTCTGACCAAAGAACTTACTACTTCTTCCTTCCTGATGAAATTATCAACATATTGAAGGAACATATTGAAGTTCTAGTTAACATTTAAATGGATGGTTAAAACATTTTCCCTTCTGAAATTTCAGACATGGAAGAAGATTTGGTTAGTTATGCAAAGCTGAAATATCTGTGAAGTTCCACAGCTCTCTATGAATTTATCCTTTTGCCTGGAGGTGTTACACTGTGATCCATAGGAACACTTCCCTGCAAAGGGAGATCAGTAAGAACCCTACAGTAATTTGGGGCTCACCACTGGAGTGGTGCAGGGAAACAAGTGTAATTTCTCTCCTCAGATTGTACAGAATACAAACTTACTACATCTGTGACAAATAAATTACTGTCCAATACTTTGCTGATGCGCTATTTCTCAAAAATACCATTTGAATTCAATTAATTTTCAGTGTCTTGGGAAAAACCAAGACCACGTCCATTGCATAGGACCACTGACAACGTTTATCTAGGATTTCCTTGAGAAGTCTAAGAGTTTCCTCTTGTGATAGGTAGCTACTACTTTTCTGCATGCCCTAAATATCAGCAGTGCTGCTGCTTCATAAGAACCCACTAACAGCATGTGTCTGCATGTGGAAGGGAGTGTGGCTGACGACAGGGTTATGAATCACAAATACATTTGTTGTTCCAGCAGAGCGAGTGCAACCATCATGAACTTCTACAACCATTTCACTTTTAAAATAAGGTCTTACAAGCAAAGCTCCAGTAGTCATTGCACTTTTCTAAGAAAACAGATGCATCCCAATAGTTTATGATAACGTAATGACTCAGACCAATCTAAGCAAGATAAAAATGGAATGTTGCACAGTCTTTTTCAAAGGCTGAGGAATTGTTTCTAAAGACTTCTTTATTACAGTATTTAGTGTCAGGTTAGTGTGTATATATAGAAAGAAGAACATAGTTTTTGTCGTGTTAAAATCCACTATTTCATATAAGGCTCCAGAGAGTGTTGCTCCTATTAAAATCATGTATTTTATCCTACCACTAGCATCCTGGCCATCCCAAAAGATGGGAATATCACTCATATTTAAAAAAAAAAAAAAAAAACAACAAAATAATTGCACACCCAAGAAATAAATACTGCTCTTCTAGAAAGTATATAATTCATCCTCTGCACTCACAGGAAAGACCTACCTTTTGGAAAAGGCAAATTCATACATCCTTTGGAAAAAATCTGTAAACTCTCTAGGGTTAGAATAAAGCACCAAAGCAATTTTAAAGCTTTCATACCTGCATATATATATAAACAGATACATACTTTACATATTAAGAATTTTCATTTCATTTGTTAGTTTTGGAGATCATGAGAAGCAAATCCAAACAGCGCTGGTCACAATCAACTACCCCACGATCAGCTAACAAACAATATTATCACCTATGTCACATGAGTAAATATGATCTTGGCTGGCCCTGCACTTTGACCTGCCTTATGCCAGACAGTGAGTGTGCCTAATACAAATGCTTACAAAGAGTCAGTTGTACATGAAGAGAGTGGTCAAATATGTGCAAAGCACGTGATGTTTAGGTTGCTTGTCTATTTACATAATTTAGAAGGCCAACACTGGAGCTGGTGCTCACCTCAACCACTCCACCAGCATGGTAAGTACTGACCATCTGGAGTGATTAAACACTTGGTGTCAATCATTATTAGCTCTGAAAGGCATCGTATTTATTGCTCCATAAAATGCACACAAATGCCTGCGTGTATATGTAATTTATCATGTTCATTCCTCTTGAACTTGACTGAGGGCTCAGTGACTTGCAGTGGTTTCAGTGAATAGTCTTGACTCAGGCTTGCTTGGTTGTCATAGCTTAAAAGATCACAACAATTTATTGGCAGCTCCAGGAGGCAATGAAATAAAATGCAGCTCCTAGTTAAGCATTAGTTGAAGCTCATATCACTGCAGGTACTCTGTTTCTCACTTTGTAGTGTAATGCTAATTGATACACTCACCCTGAATGAATAGGGCTGGAAGAAAGAGCCACATTGTCCAAGATTTCAGGGCCCAAGCTTAAACGATATGAATTCCTTTCAGCTTCTTTGGCCAGAGTTGTTACCTTAGGAAGCAAAATAACCCCATTTTACTACAATGAAATCAATTAATGAACACAAAAATATGACGTATTTTGCACAGTAGTGCCTAAAGCATTTAAACATTTTCTTTTACAACAAAGGAGTACTAATAGCATTAAGATACTAGAAACTCTTACAGTAGCATTTTGTATTTCCCTAAAGTAATCTTATGTTAGTGGTCCCAGTGAAATGAATGCTGTGATTTAACTAAGAAGGTATTTCCTAAACTTTTTTTTTTTAAACTACAGCAGGCAGCATCTTTTAGGACAACAGCTATGATCTCATTATCCCCTGAATGTGCAGCACGATGTCTATTAGCAACATTCAAATATCAGTTAAGATGGAGAATATTAAGAACACAGTCCCTGTGCTATATTCACACAGTTTATCCATTTATTTTGGAATAGAGTTCAATACTGCACAGCTCAGTGTGCCATTAAATATGCCTAAAAAATAGAGAAATTTGTACTCAAATGAACCAAGCAGCATACACCATACAGTCTCACCAGAACCACTTGCAGTGCGACCTTTCCCTGTTTCCTGATGTCAGCAGCCCAGAAGGGGCTTGGAGAGGTGTGCTCACCTGCTGGCTGGGGATGACCACGGTGTCGTCGATCATGGCGCTGTCGCGCAGGTAGGAGGCGTGGCTCAGCGTGTGGGACCTGTCGGAACTGAAGGACCGCAGGCTGGGAGGTTGGTAGGATGCCAGAGCAATGCATCAGCAGCACACAGGATGTTGCAAAGGTGTCATGACAGATCGAGTGGGAGAATGAGAAAAGCGTGCTATTAGCAACACCATGCAGCTTCCAGGGGCAGCAGAGCACAATCAGGGGAAACACAAATTTACATGCCTGTGTTGTGCCACATTTCTGACCATGAGCCACAAAGCCTTTTTTGCACTGACCTATCTGCTTCCAAATGCAGAACCTAGAGATAAATCTAGATGACAGCATAGATCATACTCACAAATACTTTAGATTTGGCTTTGTGGCATGAAGGTTTCCTTACGACAAAGAGCATTCATTTCTGTTAAGGCTCTTTGGAGAATTTCTCTGCTGCATCACACAAGCAAACCACTACAGAAAACCAGGATGCTACCACCTGAAGAAAAGCTACAGTGACTCTTTTTGAAGCTTTGTTAGGACCTACTCTCTCCCCTTAAACTGTGAATCAGTAAGCCTGGCATCATCCCCTGGAAGGTACACACAGCAAGGCGAAGTGTGGCCAGCCACAAGCTCCTGTGTAAAACAGAATCCTCCTCTGAATCCCAACAGCATCTGCAGGGAGACAGCCCCAGTGTGAGCACTGATCTCGCTGTAAGTACACAGAGCTCTACAGAGCACTGGTTGCTGTAGCAATGAGAGGTGCAAGGCAGTAAATAAGCTGCTTCCAAGCACTGGCTCAGAATGTAGCTGCAGTATCCACCAACAAAAAGCAAAAAAAAAAATAGACAAATAAGACACCGCAGAAGGACATACTGAGGTAAATGGGGTTTCTGCTACCAAATAGCACGACTTTTGTCCTTTTAATATTCACGAGCTGCAGCATGACAACAGTGATTTTTAAAACCAGATCATCCACCTTCAGATGTTGTGCGTGTACTCTGATGTTGATGTAGACCTTGAGGAATATGGCACCTCTGACTGAAGGAAGCAGTTTTGTGTTCCTGGCTTACACATCCATGAGTAGTGCTCATAATGACTAACATGGCAGATCGGAACAATAGGCCATTTATCCAGATGCACAGAGTTTTAAGGGATAATTCATTTTCAGCAGTTAACAATAAAAGTCACGGGTTCATTACAGACATGAGTTTCAAATGCTTTAAGCGCATATCAAATACCATCTGATTCAGACCACAGCCTTTTTTAACGATAGTTACATTCACTCCGTATTTTTTGATCCATTTATAGAAGCAAATGGTTATCTTAATTAGAAATATATGACATTGAAGAATAACCAATGCTGTTGATCATTAGCTTATACCAATGGCCTGCTCAGCATCCCAGGTGGATTGTACAAAACTGGAAGCAAAGATAGGTGTTACAGAACTGTCAGCCTTCAGAAAGCCTTGAGAAAAAAGCAAACCAAAAAGGAGTATTTTTTCTTAGGTTGAGGAACAGGCTTCAGTAGCAGACCCCATTTGCCATCATTATCCTGTGATCATTTCCATGTTTGACACTTCCAGAAGCATTTTGCTTAGCCATGCAATGCTAGTGAGAGAGTCACCATCCAAGCTGTAGGTTCTGCTATTCAGCTAACACCATGTCCTGGATAGATACCAAATGAAGGGAAGTCTGAACTGCATTTGGCTGGTTATCCCTATGGTGATTCCATCTATCCTCACTGATACTACCACAACTACGAGTAGCCCAGTGCTATTCACCACGTAGTACTTGTACATAATCTCTAATAAATACATCAGGGAGATGGGCTTTATCTGCAGACAGGCCCTCATGACTGAGGTCTGCAGGCAGTTATAGTATAGTTGTATATTATAGCATAATATACAGTTATATATATTATGTATAAAAATTCCCTGCTACACTCAATTTCAAAAGTAGTGCTCAGATGGCACCGCCCCATCTGTGCTTTGGATCTGCTCAGTGGAGAGCAAACCAGTAGTTTAAAGGTCTGTGCTGCTCAGACTTAGGAATAAAGGTAGTGATTGAAATGACAATCTCCTTATGGACTGAATACAGGATTTACTGGTTTTTATTGTCATAAGTATTCAGGAATTCTACTAAATATAAAAAAGCCTACCTAAATCAGACACAAGACCAACACCAAAATGCAGACTCTTCTCAAATGTGGTTGATAAATCTGAAGTCTGAATGGTTGTGGGACCAACAGGACTCAGCCCCAGAGACAGAACTGTGGGAGCCGGGAATGCTGCAAAGCTCCTGAACCTAAGAGTGCATCTTGCCTGTGTGCACAGGCACATATCACCCACCTCTAAGCCCTGAATAGAGCCCTGGTGGTATCCAGAAAGTAGGAACAGCATCCCCATGCCAAGTTTCTAATCTGCTTGACTGAGAGACTTGCAGTGCACACCCACTTCCCAGCCTAGACAGAGACTTAACTACTTCTAGTCCGATTGAGCATCTCTCTTGTTTACGTGGAAGTGGACATTTACATATGTTCTTTCAGAAGCTGAGAAAACACCCTGGGGTCACTGAAAACTGTATAAATCAACCTTGAAAATGCTGCTCAACAGCAGGATGATTCCTTCGGTTCTCTGACTCAACTTCTGCATACAGCAGGCCTCCAAAGTGGATGAACAGAGACAGGTGCCATAAGAGGAGATAGAGACAACAGGTGTTCATGCTATGTAATACCTACCTGGGCATGATGCTAATGAAAGCATATGGAAAAGAAAAATGAAGGGGAGAGAAAAATAAAATAAATAGGGAAGATGGTTACAAATGAAAAATACATGTTTGTAAATCAAATTGTTTAATGCTTAAGATTACATGAGTCTAGACTACTAATACTATCTCGCTTTACTGAATTTCCTGAAAAACCAAAGTCATTATAATGCAATGAAAATCACATTAAAAGGAAATGCAAAACAACTGAAGCAGTCCTTGTGAAAATTCTTAAAATCAGTAACCTGAAGGTGACAGAAAATGAAACCATGGAGTTAGAATGATATCCCCCTTTCATTATTTCCCCCTTTAGGATTTTGCTGCATTTCAGTATAATTTTGGTTGATAGAGAATTTGAGATAGTTTTGATACAATACAAAATAAACCCTATCAGTGACACGTCAGCGAGAATCTACAGAATTCCACTGACAAGATTTAAAACCTAAAATATGAAAAGTTTGAGCTTAACTTAAACCATCTTAACACTTGCCTGCACAATCATTTCTATACAACATCTTAAAACCTAAAAAAGTCCCAAACTTTATTACCATTGAAAGAATAAAAGGTTTTGATTTTAGGCATTCTGATGTAGTTCACAAACTTCCTCTGAGAGTTAAAAAGCCATACAGCCACTTTGTTTTCAGTGGACTCACTGTCTAAAAACCAGAGACTCCAGGCTTGCAGGACCTGAATGATGGGATTTACACATGCTGTGAGGCAAACCAAACTGTTTCCTGACATCCTTTGTTCCAGAAGCAATTCCCAGCCTACTCAAGTAAACAGATCGGATCCTACTGGTTCCACTGAGCTTCAGAAATGCTGCCAGGAAAACGACCAAGACTGGAGAATGAGGTAGCTTCAAAATTCTCTTGCCAAGATTTCAACTTTTTTTCTTTTATTCCGTTTAGTGTACCCCAGTTCCAAAGGCAGTGAAATCTGGAAACAGTGCTGATTACGCTCAGGCATAGCCTGGGTGGCTATTCTGAACTAGAACTGTGGGGGTTAATCTGCCAGCTTGTGCCTACCCTTATGCACACTAATGAAGGCTTTCCTTTTGGGAAGGGAACTCCATATTTTTTGTAGACTATAACGACCCTCCCCCCAAAAAAATTAAATCAAAGCTGCAGGCATTATTTTTCCACAAAGACATCTAGACTAAAGTTCAACTTGTTAGGTATAACCAAATCAGTACATTGTCTGGACTGAACACACTCATGTTTCTATTCTATTATTATTACTATAGTAGTGTCAGTAGAAGGACGACTCTTCTTTTTCCTGCTAATTAGACCATGAGGAACCAGAACGAGTGGATGTGCTTGCAGACAATACACTCACTGCCATTCCAGTGCAGAATGACCAAGTCCATTGCTCCTCTCCTGATGCCTTGAGCCAGCAAACCACTCCAAAAAGTCAGCTCACCTGATGCTCAAAGTCCCTGTTCACCCATTCCCTGACCCGTGGCAGCAGGAGATGAGGGTGACCACACCTTCCTCCTGCAAAGCGGTGACTGCCACGCTGCCACACCGAGTAAACAAACGCTGACCAGCACACCCCAAGCAGAGAGACCCCGCCAAGGGATTTCACACACTTACAGCAAAAGCAGTGCACAAGTGTAATGAGAAAAGTGATTCATCTGGGCAAATACCTGTCTGAGCGTCCTCCTTCCAAGCTGTACCTCAGGTAGTTCATTCCATCTAAGAACTGGCTGCTTGGCAAAGAGTCATCTCCCAGCTCCCGGAGGTCTTCTGGCCTAAGGTACTCCCCCCCATCTCCTGTCATTGTGTCATCACCTGCAAATCAATCACACAAGGGATAAGCACACACACAGGTTTGATGCCATTGGCACCTCAGGATCAAACAGCTGGATGGCACAATGAACAGGGAGGCATTTTCCACTCAGGAAACACTGCAGACCACAAGCAGTTAATGTATTTAATCAAACTGGCACATCAAGCAAGATATTTTGAAAAATAAAATTAAAGTCAAGGTGATTAATCAATTAGATTTCATACATTTTTTGCTGTTGCACGCACTGGCAAGGAGCACATTTCTTTGCTATACTCTAAAGCGTGGTCTTTCTGTTTTTTAATCTATTTCAGCTTTCTGGACACAGCTATGCCGTATCCTGACAGTTCATGGTTAAATATCACCACCTATTTGACTGCAACCTCTGTGTTTTCAGATGAAAACATGCTTTCTGTGGCCTTATGCCTTATAGTTGCAAAGGCTAATTTAAACTCTCTGCTTTCCACACCATATATCATACGAGGCTCTGTCACCCATATTCCAACATCTTTCTGTGATCAGTAACAACATGGATATTTCTAGAACATGGCAACATCCAGAAACTGGAAATAAGCTGACTTGCATAGATGGGAATGATCATAAATTGTAATGAATCCCAGCCTAAATGATCATTTGTTATCTGACACAGTAACCTTTATACATACACTCTGAATAATGAAACTGAATCCTTTTATTTTAGGTCAGAATTCTTTTCCCCAGGAAATTCTGTCTATATGAAGTCACAGTTTGCTTTTCCCCAGCAGACTAACAAAACAGATTCCATTGCCAAGCAACATGTAGATGTTTCCTTTCATTCCCACTTGCAAGACACTTCCTCTCCACAGTTTCTGCCTGGATATTTCAGTCATTTTCCCGCTGGTAAATCACTGCGGTGTGAGCCTGCCAGAGGCTTGGTGGGACCCACACAACATGACCCCAGGCCACCAAGAGCTTTAAGCCTTCTCATTTTCAAGGCTGTGTGGGCAAACTGAAGCTCATCTTGATACTTGTTTTCACAAAGCAAATCAAGCTATTTTTTCTAGCTTGACATTTCATTTAAGAAAGAAATAATTTATTATTTGTAATCTAAAGCTAAGTAAACTTGGGGGGGGCGTGTAAGATTTTTATGTGTACACAAATATATGTAAAAATAAGTCTTGAATCTTTCCAGTATAACAACAAAAACTCTTGAAAATTCCATCTGCCCACATTAAGAGGGAGAAACTGGGCACAGTTTCACAGAAAATAATAAAATGCATTTAATCATTTCATGTTTCCTGTCTTCTGACAGATGATGCCTCCTGTTTCCTGGGAATGTCATATTAAAAAGCACAGGGCTTAGTGAAAACTTGGAAGATATTAAGGCAATGCTGTTAATCAAACAGCAAAAGGAATTTCAAGTTATATTTCAAATAAACTAGATAATTATAATCATGCCAGACATTCCATTTATAATAGAAACAAAGGCAATATCTTTACCACTTTCCTCACACCCACAACCTTAAAAAAAAAATCCCAAATCCAAAGTCTACTCTGATTTCAGCTTTGGCCTCTCATCTGAGAGTTGTCAGCAGCAGGGCTAAGTCGCAGTGTTTGATGTGATGGGACAGTTGCAAGCAGTAACCAGACCAGGCACAGATATCTCTCAATAGCAGGCGAGGACTGAGGGAACTGCCCCCACCCCCTGTGCCCTCCCATCCTGAGATGAATGCCCCAAACACGCAGTGCCTCCTTGCATGTGGAGAGAAAAAAAAATAGCTATTTCTCTCTAAAAGCTTGCATGTTCAGCTGACCAAGGGCTTCCTGACACAGCAGATCTCACCAGATGGTCTCTTTGTGGTGATACAGGAACTGCCCTTTTTCATCATGCCAGAAACAATTCGTCTGCCATCTCATTCCCCATCAAATTAATGCCAGGAACATTCCCACCACTTACTAACCACTTTGTGACAAATATAACCCTTCACATGGATGCTCCATGGTTTGCTGTGGCCATATATGAATTTGCAAAACTGTAAGATACAACTGCTCTACAATAATTGCTCTGGAATTGTTTCTCACAAAACAGAAAAAATATAGAGAAAATTTTAAAATAAAATAATAAAGGAAAGGGGGCTGTGTCAAACTGCCAGAATTTGCTTTTAATAGGTGTTTTTAAAGCCAGATACATGCCTTAAAACGAATCATCATGTCAGCTACCGGGAACTCAGGGCAGCACTCACAGAATGGCAGAAGGTGAAGCAAATCTCAAAAAAAGAAATGCACTTCTACTCTCAAGGAACTCAGGGGAGGGAGAGACACCTTGATTTTGCTTCCTTGCATATTAACCCATTGCAAAAAGAATTTCAGTACTTGATAGGTAGTTACTGTGCTATTTAAGAAGTTGCTACGTTGGATCTAGGTAAGAAACAATAAAATAACAAAATATCCCTAAATCCCTAAGCCACAGAAGCTTTACTTCTCTAAGTCAGCATCCTTTGGCTACATTTAATGCTGCTGGATCCAAAGTGCTTTATTTAGAGGGTGAATTAACTCAGCGGTGCTATTCTAAATTTACTGCGTTTTAACGTGGAGCAACAGTAACATAAGTGGACTAAGAACAATTCCTGGCTGCAGCTTTAACTTCCAGGTTTAATTAAGGAAATCGAGTTTTCCCACTAATTCAGGTGCTTCTTCAGGAGGAATTCAGGAGGAATTATGTGCATGTACAACAGCAGTGGATTCTGTCCAGACTTAGCTTCTCATTTCTCACACATATGCTGCAGCATTAGCTGCTCCAAGGCCATGTGTGGGGGCACACAGGAAATTCACTGTTGTATTTAAGCACTGTGGGAGTTCTTCCTTCTAATCAGAAATCTCATACAGCCAGATATAGGATCAGCTGTGAACAGCTTCCTGGAATCCAAGGTCACTACAATGCAGTAGTTCACAGGTACAACACCTTGTCCATGAACTCTTTGCACACAACCTTTGTCTATCCCTTTTCTGCAACTGCAGTGTCAGCACTAATTACACTTGGGTGTGAGCCAACTTTCCTGGTTGCCATCTCAGGCCATGCTGCTCCTGACAGCATTGTTTCACCCTCTACTTCATCCTTTCTACTCCCTTCTGCCTGCAAAAGTTATCTGTCTGGAAAATAACTTGTCAGGACAAAGAGATTCATTTTCAGACAGATCAGTTTTCTGGGCTAGGTAACCACATGGTGAAACGTTTGTGCTGCCAGAATGGAGGATGTGGGGTAGCATGGCCAGAGCTTGACAACTTCTGCAGCAACCAGGACTTGCTCTCAAGCAGACAGTGAAACTAGAGCTTTTGAAAATCAACCAGCAAAGAGGAGACTCAAACAGAAACAAATGAACATTCTTGAACATCCTGTTCCCCTGTTGTATTCTCTCTCTAGAGCACTATACTTACTGCACTATCTCCCATGGGAGTCTCAAAGATAAACCACTGCTGGTTCATGTTGCAATTTTATGTTGAGTCAGACATGACTGGCATCATCACTAGTCCTTTATTAAAAAGTTTGCATGCCTTCTCTCAATGAACAACTTTCAGGCAACTCTGACTCCTTCCCTCATAGGCAGCTTCACACAGCACCGACTCCTTCTCTCTGCAAGTTTCCTTCTTCCTTCTACATGACTGGCTAAACCCCAAGCTATCCCTCACACAACATTTTCTTACCTTATCTGTCCTTTGCACGACTGCATGTCCCTTACTCCTCACAGCACAGCCAGCAGACTCCATCCCAAACTGCAGCAGACTCTGCATCTCAAGCTCCAACTCCAACTGCAACTTAACTAGTGGCCAGCTAGCCCACTCTTTTATAGCACCCAACCTCATTGGGCAGGCAAGGCTGTTTCTACTCCTTGGTAATCATCGGGATCAATTGCCTTCTGCCTTATCCTTTCAACCTATCTCCCCACAGGTTTGTGCAGCTCTTCTGCCACAAAAATGAGGGCATGGAATGAAGACAGAGGAGCATATTAATATATGGGAAAATAAGAAAGAACCAGGCTCCTGCCTTTTCTAGATTTTCCTGTGTGTCTACACACACAGACTCAGTCCTAACAAAAATATTTGCTTGTGCTTAACTTCACTAATTCTGTAGACATCACTAAAATACATTTCACAAGATACTTTGCAATAAGTTCCCTTTACTGCTCTAAGGATCCCTCAGGTGCAAAATGCTTCTTTCATGATGACAGCTTTAAAGCAACTGAACTTCGCAGCACTACAGCCAAGGCAGATACAATGATTAAAATGTACAGGGTTTTTAGTGCAACTTCATCCACACCAAGCACTTCTGCTGGCAGGAGTACGTGTTGCACAAAGCACATCACTTCACAGCTCTGCCTATGGGCTAGGAGTCTGTAGTGCAACCCCCATGAACAGGGATTAAATGGCATTTTAAATAAAAAATACAATGTGATTCTGTTCAAAACAAAGATTTGGTTTTGCAGGTAGCATAAAAAGTAAAGAATTCTGAGTAACAATTCAGTGGATAAAAACAAAAACGCTAGAAGAAAATTGAGGAAGAATCAGTACGACTCTCGGTCTACTCCAGATATTTTAAAATAAGCTACACAGAGCAGGACCTTCCATCCCAAGCTGAGCTATCTGATAAGATATTTGTCTTTTATTTTATACTGCTAAGACTGGATGTTAACTTTGTTTTCGGAATATGAATACTATATTAACAACATGACAGCATACAATTATGGAATGTAACTATCTTCCCAGCAAAATGCAAAATACTTATCATCAGTGATGAACATGCTACACAATGGGACCTGAAATACTTTGTTCAACTTGAACTTGAACTCTTGTGTTCAACTTGATGATTATATAAATACAGCTGGCAGGTTTTATTATATATTATATATATAAAAACCATATATAAGTAGATATAAAGATAGACATTATACTTATTGTATTATAGGACTATAATAGCAGCACATCAATTCATTTCAGAATATATCGTGTCATTTGAAAGAACACAGCATCACAGCACCCTTGCTGTTAGCCTCTTATGAAGCTACACCACCACTGAAAGGTTCATCCTCTCTATTAAACAAGTCCTGCAGCCTTCCTGTCCCCAGCTATTTTGAAGTGACTGTGACAAGCACCAGCCACGATAGGAGTTCTTGCAGTGAATGTTAATTCAAAGCATGGGAGAGCATTAGTCATGCGGGACAGCCCCTTCAAGTTCTGCCAACACACTCAAGATATAGGTAATAAATCTGAGATTTTCTGGCTTCCCTTCTTCCTCCCACCTTGCAGGAGACACACACTCAGCCACACTTCAAAAGTAACAGAGAGGAGCAGGGTTAGGTACCCAAATTATGCAAACATGTGTTGTTTGAACACAAAAAATAAACCGAACAGTCTGAGTTAAACAAAAAGACAAAGTCTGTGGGTCTTACTCCACGAACTCCTGCTAACAGCACCCGTGCCACTATATGCTTCCCCATCACTGAAGGGTTCCTCATCAGAGTGCTTAAAGGCTGTACAACACACAAATTGGTTTGAGAAAAAGGAACACCCTGGATTAATCCTGTAGAAGCCGGAAGACATACTAGACTTTGTGGATTTAAAGATGATTCAAGGGTAGATCAAAAGACTGGGAGAAAACTACACAAGGTGAACATAAGGCAATAAGCAATTTAAAGGCAATTCAACATAATAGTTACACAATCATCTGAGTGTTTCTTAATCAGAGACAAAGTAGCAAAATAATTCCACTGGTCATGATGCAGCAGAAAATAATTGCCTTTGAATCACATTTGTTTGCTTTTGAATTTTAAAACAAAAAGTTGCATCTAGAGCCTAAGCACCATATTTTCTCAGGAGTGTAACTCATTTATCAGCATAAATCCCATTTCTAAAAGCAATACAAGCACTTGTAATTAATGAATGCCATTAACTTTGTGCACCATTTAGAACCACAAGTGCATCTGCGTTCTTTGTAAAAGAAAAACACCAACTCTGTAACCTGAGTTTCCAAATTCCCAGGACTTTCTGGAAACTACTCACCCTACAAATTATTTGTGTGAAATAATAGCAATCACCATAAAATGGTACACATAGGATATTGTAATATTAACACTGCCAAATGTAAAAAGAAACATAGAATATCCTTTCAAATGTGTTTATATTTATTAATACTGCTGTGACTAAAATTTCTAAGAAGTCACTTGTGAACTCCCAGAAGCTGATGGATTTAGGCCATTTCTGCAATTCTGAGCTGTATAAAAATGTGGTATTTTATCACTATTCCCAAAAGGTCAGAGAGATTTCCTTAGGATGTATCTAAGTGGTGCAACACATCTGCCTGTAAAAGCCTCTGAAACCCAAGTCCTGACCTTATGAGCATGTTGTTACTTTGTATCACACCATGTGTATCCTTGAGCCCCCCTGTGCCAAAAGCTCCCCGAGGGGAATGCTCTCCTCCCTATGATGCATCCTCTGACACAAATGTTTCCAATTAGGTGAAATTCCTGGGTATTTGTATCTGATATAGGTGGCACAGATCCAAAAAATTTACTGCTCAGATTCCTCTTTATGGGAGGGTCAAAGCCAACTTTGGGACAGCTCTAGAGTAACATTTTAAAGCCTGGAGTTGGGAAATGGTCTCATTTGCCAATTTGATTCAGATAAGCTTTTTCTGGAAAATATGTATGGGTTCAGAATTTTGCTTTGTTTCAAATTTTGGCATCTTTTTACAAATACCATAATGATTACATCATTAAAAAAGAACTTCATCACATGCACAGCAAAATGAAGATGTCAGAGTATTCAAGCTGCTTCTTGAGCCTATATAACAGGTTACATAGGTGATATGGAAGAGGAATTTAGCAAAGTAACTCACCTTCTTCATCTGACACATCCAGGACCTCAGTCATTGTCTCGGGTACATTGAGCTTGTGCTTCTCTGTTACAGTCTGCAAAGACAGAATCATCAGTCAGAGGAGCAAAGTTTACAGCAGAGAATTTTAACAGACAGCAGTGGGATGTGCTGAGGCATTTCATAACGTGTTTCCCCTTCCCCTTTCTTTTTCATCTTTATTCCAGAAGCTCCTATTTTCAGCGCTGCATAAGGTAATATTTCTTCTGGCAGAAAAGTACAAAAATATAAGATAATCAGCTGGTCAGAGGAATAAAATTTATTTATAAATGGTGCATGTAGAACAATTCAGCTCAATGTTTCCAAGATGATTTTAAAACGAATTAGGTAATGTCTACAGAAGAGCTTCAGAAAGTTCTGTGGGGCATATGGAAATTATTAAATTGTAAAGCATTTGGAAATGAAGTTATGAATGATGTGAAATTCCTAAACTAAAAAAAGATGAGAAGGATTTACACAGGCCACTTGAAACATTTCTCCCCACTCTCAAGAAAAAGGTGACTACAGCGCATATTAATTATATTCTTTTCATAAATCATGTCTATTCCCCCTAAGCACTTACACATCAGAGGAAAAAAAATTGTTTGAAGATTCTGAAACATATTTTGCACCTAAAAGCTCAAAATATTGTGAATCAAGGCAAGTATGGACTGAGGCATAGTGGGAGGATTCTGGTTAAACATGAGAGCACAGAGCAGGAAAACACTGGAAGTCTGTTTGGTTTTTCTTTTTAATATAATTTTATCTTCATAAATGACTTCTGGGAGGAAACAGAAGATGTCCAGGGGTGCTGAATCTAGAATGGGGACATCCTTTTAGCATCCAGATTCAGACTGGAGAAGGAGATGAAGAACATAACGAGAGAAACTGTAGGAACTGCAAAATGTGAACAGGTTGCCTGCAGGGGATTCCTCAGCGTGTTACGATAAAGGGGACAAAATGCCAAGGGCTTCAGAAGGAGCAGCGATCAGAAGTGCCTTGGTCACAACCAAAAAGTACCAATTTCCCTGGCTGCTCCCAGCCAAGCAGAGGAGTTCCAGAGGGCACACGGCCCGTAAGGATGTGTGGGAGCACAGGTGCCCCTCTGGCATGGAGAGCAGTGCCAGGAGGCCACGTGTGCCCCCCTGAGAAATCCCCTGTGAAGGAATGCTCACTCCCTGCTGCAGACACCCTCTATCGTGCATACATTAACATTATATGCAAAGGAGAAAAAGCATTTCAGGGGAGGGATAATGAAATCAGCCAAACCCTGAGCCCCTTCTGCAATATTCTTTTGGGAAAACACCCGCTGATATCAAGCAGTGAAGTCAATAGCAGCTTTTGTTGCATAAAACTTACTAGTTATTTCCTGACCCTGTTATGTACTTCTCTGTTCCTAACAAACTGACAAAGCCAGCATTCTTGCCAATATTGTAAAATACTGCACTTTCATAAGTAACTACGTTACCAACCGTGTAATTACTTTGGAAATTAGTTTTAAAAGTCTGCTTTACGTTTCTGAAATCTATTTAACTCTGACAGCAGTTCCAGTTTACCCTCCTGAGGTACAGGGAAAGAACAATGTCCTTTGCCTTAACTGGCAATCCCAATTAAGCTCCTAAATTCACTCTTCCCCATGAGTAAAAACAACTAATTATTTCTGTTGCAGCAGAACACATGTTCAGGGTTGCAAATTAGTTTATATTCACCGAATGCCCCCACCATCAGCACTGACTTTACCCCAGTATTCCCATGGCTTTCCTGGGATAGAAATGTCAGGCAGCAGTGGGGTGACAAGGCCAGTGATGACAGATGGGGAGGTGCTATCCTTCAGGTGGCACTGAATTTGTCTCTTCAACACCAGAGTTAACAAATAAGTTGAGTAATCAGCTAAGTTAAAGCACAAGCTGCAGATAGAGAGGATCACTGTCTACTTTTCTATCACTCAGGTAACCAAGGATTATGGACCACTATATCCATCTACTCATTACTTAGGTTTTTACAGGCCCCATATACAAACAGTCCAGTCTCTAAGGCTTGCAGACACTATTATCTATTTACAGGAAAGCAAGGATACTTTATTGACTTCCTGGCTTTCCCGTCAGTAAGAAAAAAATCACTTCATAATTTAACAATTGAAACAAAGCTTGGAAAAGAGATTCAAAAGAGTGTGTGTGCACATGCACATTGCAGAACTAAGAATCTTCAATGCCATCTCTGGAACACTGAACTCAGCAAAAATCATTAATTCTACATTAATTCTAATCCCAACAACTTCTGTTAGGAATTAATGCTCTTACAGGAACTTCTAGTGTGATATTAAATTTTTTAAATTGATAGGCACATCAAATACTCTCAAAATTTAAAATCCCTATCTAGCCCCATGAATAGCCCACATGGAAAATTGCTCAGTGTGTATTTCTCGCACACCCTAAGTTTAGTGCCACTGAGAATTCTATGATGGAGTTTACTTAAGGCTTCTGTAATTTGAACCTTTCATGGTATGATCAGATTTTCATTGGGTGGCATAGAATAATTACGATATATAATTCAGGTATGCACACCCATATGTGCTTTCAGCAACGACTTACTCACAGCAGCATACTGCAAACCTGAAAACTCCTCATATATTCATCCATCCATAGGAAGGCTATACTTGTTTGTACAAATGGCCCCAAACTTAATTGCATAGCAAACCTCTAAAAATCCAGTTTATTCTCATTTCCTATTGCTCTCTAATATTCCAGTAAAAAAAGTGCACTTTATTCTCTCTATTGATATATATGCATGTGGCACCACTAATAACAGCACTAATGCAAGTAAGAAGAAGATTTGTTCCAAGTTAGAGCAAAGAAAGGCTTTGGCACTGGAGATCTTTTCCTCATCTCAAGTGGCAGTGACTTGCATATCAATCACGCGTGGGGCTGTGTAACATCCTCAGTGCAGTGCTCAGCCCAGCCTCAGAGAATGAGGTAGCCATGGAGACAGCACCTTCTCTCAGGGCTCAGGTCTGGCAACACCAACCTCACCATCTGGAGAACCTGAGCGCAGGGAGCACCTGCTACTTAGCCCTCCTTTGCAGAACTTGTTCTAAATCATGTTTCATCAACATCTCCCCCTCCAAACATTACCATTCCACACATCCCTAAGGTACAAGGGTGAGATGAATTCATAGCTGGAGAATCTGCTGAGTGTATTGAGGGCTCCCACTTGACTTTTAAAGTATGCAGACACAGATCAAGATTTCAGATTTCCCTTATATGCAAGCACTACAGGTCAACTCTGCAAGTAAATTTCAGACTTGATTCAGTCCTAAACCTCAGGTATCTGGTAGAAAAAACCATGAACCCTCAACGCTTAAAGAAACACTTACCCAAAGTAAATAACTTGCATGTGTCTTTTCATAGTGCAATTCCTATTATTGCACAGATCTAACACTTACATGAGACAAGGTCCAAGGCTGCACAGTGAAATACAATGAAAATGAGAAAGGAAGTTATTGCTTTTATCAAATAATAAATGAAAAACCTGTGCCAGGACACAGCATGGGAGATGTCACAAAGGTGTCCTCTGGAGCTTAAAAATATAACTAAAGCTTCTCAAATATATTTTCCCAGTGTTTTATTTTCCTAAACTTCTGATTAGATACGTATGTGTTTATGCACGTACATGTGTGATGTGCTATATGATTAAACAAGAACATGAAGTAATAACAACAGAGACACACAGCCTTTATTAAGGGACTTCTGGAATTATGCCGGAATTCCTTCTCCAAACCTGACTCAGCCTGATCTTTGCAGGTCATTAATAAATTATGACACATTCTATTTGGAACCTAACACTATGTTATCTTTATTGCATCTTCCTCGGTTCATATAAAGTGCGATTGCTGTCAGCATGCAACAAAATGAAAAGTATTTTCCCATTTCTTTACATGAGATTTTGGACTTCTCTTCTTGTAACCCTTTCCATGACCGAGCAGTGGCATCTTTTTAGTAATCTATGGATTTTTACAGCTCTGAGCTCCTAAATGTCATCTACAGCTGATGGGGTTTCTAGGCCACTAAATTAGCATTAAAAAAAAATCAAATAAAATTATTAAGCATTACTTTAAAGCAGTGTTTCAAGAAAAATGCAGTAAGCAAGACTTAAATCTAATTTCTTAAACTATGCACTTTTTCTAATGTTCTCCCTTTTTACCTGCTATGACACTTGTAGATGGGAAGTCAAAGTGCAAGAAGGGAAAACTTTCTCCTCTCAGGGTGTCCAAATAGATCAGCTTTTCCTGGCTTAAAGCTGCAGTACCACCTTGCTAATGTTCAGCACACACCATTAACGAACTCTGATGTCAAAATACAGACTCCAAGAGTGCGGAGCACTGAGAGGACTGAGCCCATAAGGAAAGATTCCTCTGCATTTTGGAAAAACAGGATCTGTTTGAACTGGAAGTGACTTGAGTAAGAAGATGATGGATGTGATTCACAGCCATCCAGTGAGCATCATTAGCCTTGGCTCCAGGCCCTGGCTGGTGCAGTCCAAATGTAGAGATGCTGCAAGGAAAAAGCCCTCAGGAGGTGTCAAAAGTGTGGAGATGTAAGGCCAGATGGGAAAGGAAAAGTGAAAAGAAACAGAGAAAGAGGGCAGGATCTAAACAACAATGCACAAACTTCTGGAAAGTTTGGGTTTGCAGCTCAGGTCTAGAAACAAGTTTTACTCTGAATTGCTGTTTTCCATCGGTGTGCAAACAGATTTTGTTCCCTAGCTCAGGGGAGCCTGTTGCCTTACACACACTTCCACATGCTTATAGGATACACTCAAAGCACTGCAGCAAAAATGCAACAGAAAGGGAAGGGGGGAGCTAAAACTCCCAAAACAAAACAGAAAAGAGGTCCACGGAGAGCCTGAGGGAAGAGCAGAAAAACAACACTCTGAGTAAAGAAGAGCCACATTTGAATGCATGTGCAACTCACAGTTGTGGTGGTGGTGATCTCCTCCGTTACAACCTTCAGCGTATCGACCACAGAGATGTATCCCAGGCGCCGGGCGATGGCTAAGGCTGTGTTACCATTCTGAAGGGAAGAGAGAGGGGGAGAGCGCGCTGAGAGAGAGGGAGGATTGTGATGTGAACCAATGAGATCACTCTCCACGCTGCATGAGCCAGCATTTCCATCCAAAACAAGGCACAGCCTAGGAAAATCACGGCTTTTTTACCGTTACATCTGACTCTGTCTTTGTAACTTCTTAAAGACTATAGCCCCAATTGCCATGGTAACACAACACACATCTGCCAGATTCCAAATACTACAGCGCTGTATGGTTTAACCCTTCAGGGCTCACATCTCGCTATACAGCGTGTCTTGCCTGCATAAGTTCGGTGTTTATTTTGCAGAAATACTCTACTAAAAAGTAAAAGGTATTTTAACTTTTTACAATTTCACTCCCACTTGAAACTGTTACACCTTTACCAGGTACAATTCCTTATCTGGGGAATACAAAATTACAGCTATGTTGTCCACATAGACTCCTATTCCTTCATATAACAAAAATGTACTTCCATTAACAGTTCACGAAAGCTAACGATTTAACAAATATAAACCACAAAAGGCTTCGGGGTGAGGAATACAGTTCAATTTAAATACATTTATTTGCAGTTTGAATGTTCATAACATATAGAGACATGCCATTCATCAATTAGACACTAAAATAATTAAGCAAGACTTCAGGCCTATTTATCCCCATTTCATCTCCTGGAACACTGGCAGTCCAGAGTCCCTGTGTCACTGAGCTTGGGGAGGGGAGGAAGGAAAGTGTTCCATGGTTCTTTGTGAAGGGTTCTAACAGAATTGTTCCTTGTTATTTTGCACTGAACCAAGGGACAACATGCTGGCCTCCTGAGGAATCATGGACTGTCACTGTACCGCTCTTTGCATGGAAATTTTTTCTCCTGTGACCCCACTGCACCATGCGCAGGGTTTATCAGCCTGAGGGCTCTCTCTTCTTTAGCAGCAGCCTTAGTTATCTATAATTTAAATTCTCCTCTATTAGTCTAGCTCAGCCACCCTGAAGCAGCACAGATTTTGTGGATTAGAAGCAGAACAGATTAGCATCTTCACAGCACAAATAATTTGACTCTTACTGTCACTTGCACATTAGCTGCTCATACACCACTCCCATATCTCCCTGCCAGATGTCTCAGGTTGAAATTCTCTCTTATCTCAAGCCAGAGGTTGCTCTGTGTGGACAAGGACAGATTGAGTGTCTGAAGAAGCAGTCAACTGTGCAGCAAAGACACATCCCTAAGGCTGCTTGGACTTGGGTTAGATCTGGGCAGGACATCCCCAATGTGAGGAAATCAAGTCAAGAGACCCTCAGTTGAACACCCCAAACAGTAATCCAGTGCACAAACTGGTATTTTGGATAACTTTCACACAAGATTATTCCATGTGATTGTTCTAGGACCAAACATGGTGCCAATGCTGATTTAAGCACGTACACTTATAAGGCATACAGAAAACTGATCCACCCTAGGGAATGACTGGAGTTTTGGACACTCTGGCAGTGTTCTAATGATTACCCAATTAGAGGTGACTAATAACAACATCAAAGTGAAATAGGACAGTTGCATTCCTGGCTGGCTGACTATGGAGAAGGATCTGTGCCAGGACCTATTGATGTCTTTGAGGAGGTATTAACTTCACTGAGTTCACTGAGGTGAACTCAGTAAGAACCTGAAACCAATCCAGTGGACTGAGGGACAAAAATCTGTGTCTAAATTAAACAACAAAAAAACCCAACAGGTTCTGCACTGCCCTTGATTTCTATGGAAAACTCCTTCTGGAGATATCAATTTCCAAAGAAAAGTGTTGAGGTGGAGGGAAACTGAACGAGCCTGGCACAGACAGCTCTGGTCAGCCTAATCCTACAGCTCAGGAATCAGAGAATGTTTCTCTGCCTCACGTTTAGTTTAGTGCACAGTTAGGTTGGATGTGAACTACCTTAAGAGGATAAGGAAAGCAGAGGAAATTACATTTCCACATATGACAACCAGCTGTATAAGGAATACTTTCATCAAAATAACGGCTTGCTCTCGAGCCCTAAGGAAGGAAAGCGAAGAACTGTCCAGGGAAACAAGTTCCCAGTGGCACATCAGACTTACTGTGGTGATGGCGTTGGGCTTGGCCCCATGCTGCAGCAGAACATTGATGATGTGAGTGTGGCCTTGCTGAGCAGCCTGGTGAAGAGGGGTGTACCCATTCTGTTATCCACAGCAGTGACAGCAAAAGCAAACAAAGAACAAGAACCAATCATTAGAGCAAACATTTCACTTTGCTTCCTTCTGCTCCTTTGGAGACATTTCAAACATACATTATGACACCAATCAACTCAAAAATAATAAACCTTCAGTAATAATGATTCTCCTTCCCCAGATTAATGAAAATATAAAGGAAGATAGTATTCTTATACAAAAATAATTTCTCCCACGATAAAAGAAATCCATGAAAAGACATTTCTCCCCCATTTTCTAAATCAGAGGAAGGAGCAATGAGAAACAGCAAAGTTAAAGGGGCATGCTGAGGGCACAGAATCACAGCTGAGGCAGAGAACATTCCTCTTCCTCTCACATCCTAGTTTTCAACAGAGGGCCCAAGATTTGCCTTTAAAATATCGGAGTCAATTTAAAAAACATCACTTTTAACAGCAGTCATTAAAGCCTATTTGTTTTTTAAAAGGCTAACAACATACACCTATTACAAATGTCAATCAATTTTAGCTACACTTTGCCTCCAAAAGGCTGGACCTAGCTGTAATTACACCTAGGAACTTGTACACAGTATCTACCTTAATAAACATGCTTAGTTCAAGATACTCATCTGCCCCAGTGGTTTGTTCTTGTGTCACACAATACAGAAACATAACCAAAGTGTGCTTAAGCTGGCTGATCTGAGGTGGTATTGTGTAAGTCTAGTCAGCCAAGTGATTTACAAAATTATTTGCAATTGGCTTTGAAAGCAGCCAGAGAAGAAACTGGAAGAAAACCTTGGGTAGATCTCACTGCACACTTAGATAAAGCCTGGGGCAGGCTCTGAAAATGCGCTCTGAAAGTGATCTCTGCTGTACACAAATAGATGCCAGTAATGCTTTGCACTGCTAATTAAACAGTGATAGTTCAGGACTGTTACAGATCTTACATTGACAGTATAAGTGCACAGACTGCTAAAAACTACTGCTTACTGTGGGTTCTAGTGGAAAGTGGATTCACTACCTTTACTTGAATAGTGCCATCCTTGAAAAATAGAATTCACATGCTCATCGCATAAAGCGTCGTGCAGGCTTTCTCTTGTGAAAGCCCAAGCTTTCAATCTTTACCATGCCTTTCCTGAATCCAGGATTTACTCTTTAAACTGAGTCCACAACACCAGTTGACAGATTGCCAATATTTTTAGTAGTCCCTAGGTGTATGATTTTGGAGAACTGCTTCTTTATACAAACTTGCTGACTATAATGAAACTATTTTAAATAAATACCTGGGTGAATGGAATCATAATCTGTCCCAGTGGCCCTTTAAATACAAAGAGACACCTAATCCTAAAGACACAACTTTGTCCCTTGAATTAGCCTCCAAATACCTCAGCTGAATGTCTTGGCAGCTATAGATTGGATCCTGCTAGTGTCTGCTTTATTAATTCTCATCAGCTGTCTTTGTAGTAGTGTTGCCTGTCCTTTTGGAATCTCTGAGTTTTGCCCATTGATTTTGGGTGATCCCATGAGAGAAGGGCCAGAATCTTTTATTTATTTACTTGGCTGTTTCTTACCACATTGAGCTGTGACCACAGTGACAAAATAATACTACTTTGAGAAATGAATCATCCCATAGGCCCCAGCTGGGGACAGGGAGCTGACCAGAGTGACCAGTAGACTACAAGCCAGCAATTCTGATGGGATTTTAAAAATAGTATCAGTGGGCTGCTTACTGTTGGTCCCAAGACATCCAGCTCAAAGCAAGTAGCCAGCAATTGCCTGAAGTCAGCTTTAACCAAGCTGGAGCCCTACAGCTCTTCAGTTAGCCTTCTCTTTCTGAAAATGGTGATGTGATGATTTCTGGGATGCAACACACTGTTTCTGCCATCAGAACCTCTCTTTGCGTTCTCAGAGGATACACAGCTCTTGCTACAAGATGCATTCCATTCAGCCGGTGTGCCCACCAGTTTATCCCTGGAGAAACTGCTGAAGTCAGTGGGCTTTGTTCCGACTTTGACTCTGGGTAGTCAAGACTCGTTTCAGTGTATCTGGTCAGATTTCAGCATAGCCAGATTCCCCTCAGAAAACCCCAAACTCTCCTTGAGTAAACCACATTCCCTTACCACAGCTGCTTCCTCTCCCAGAGTCATCCCACCCACACACTGAACAGCAGTAACTCTTCCCACTCTTCTCCCAGCATATTGGAGAGAACCTGGCATCACCCTAAAGTGTCTGAATTGTTACTTGCTTGTTTGGCAGCACACTGTATTACAGTGGTGTAAACCATGTGGAAATGAGATCAGAGACAATCTTTGCTTTGCTAGTTTTGCAAGTAGTAAGAAAAAGAAAAACCAATTAAATTGATTGTCTGTGTCATTTTTTCATACACACAGAGTTATCTGGCTTTTCTTTCCCAAACACCACACCATGAGATGGAGCAGACAGAGCATTCCATTACAGGTACCAAATGTTGACACCTCCCATGCCATGGTTAAGAGTTCCCAAAGGAAAAAGCACGTATGTCATGTGGAAGTGTTGGGTTACCATGTTTAGAATAAAGAGCAAAAGCAAAGCAATGGAAAATTCTTTACCTTTGTTTTAGCATTGACATTTGCTCCGTGCTTGAGGAGAAAATTCACCATTTTGATGTTTCCATAGTGACAGGCCACAATTAAAGGTGTATAACCAAGCTACAGGAGGAGAACAAAGAAGTAAAACTGCAAGCTCAGTGGAACATTCCTTGGACAAGGGTAGCACCCTTTGGCATGCCGGAGACAGCAGCCACTCCGTGATTTACCTTTGTCTGAGCATCCTGGTTTGCACCATGTTTGGTGAGGATCTCAGCTACATTCACTTTATCCTCTTGAGCTGCAAGGTGTAAGGACGTCAGTCCAGCCTGGAGATGGAGTTTAACAAGTAAGTAAACAAGCAGATAAAAGTAAGAATAAAACCCTACTTTACATAAGGAAAAAATCTAGATTTTTCCACTTCCTCGTCTTTAAAACATGATCAGATCCTAGCTATAGCTTCTGAGTATGGATGGTGTTTTTAAACAAAGTAGAGTCGCTGTCGCTCCTGTTGCAGCTGACAAACAGCTCCAAAACAAATACATCACCATACCCATAGAGGAAAACTTTCAGGTATGAATGCTCAAGATTTTCTACAACAATGTAATTTGGCAAGCTGAGAAGCCCATTAATAAAATGTGCTTCCCACTCCTCAGACAGAAAGGGGAATCTTGACAACTGCAGGCAGAAGCCAGATGAAGACATTAACTCCAGAAATAGATCCCATTCAAATGCTAGGGGAAAGGATGCAGCCTTTAGCTGACAATTCACTGTGATCATGCGTTCATGTGCTTTCCCATGAACAAGGCACTGAACAAATTTTGTATAAGAAATGAAAATCACCTTGTTTCTATTAACAGGATATATTAACTCCACGCCAGGAGATACCTGAGCCTTCTATTCTAACTTGTATGAGCCAAAGCTGAAGACTTTTCATCTGCATAAATAAGATTTGCAGCTATTCCTGGATAAATCCAGTGACCCATGAAGATTTACAGTAATGGTTTGGGGATTTTTTGGATGATCTTATTTTTTGTAAAAAAACTGTCATGCACAATCATTTTAAAAAGTTTGGAAAGGTCTTCCATATAATTTTTCTTAGTCTACTCCAGTAATACGGTTATTTTCTTATTGCCAGAGAATGTAAATTTCTTTACTTATCACTGAAGGACAAAGACATGTGGAAAAGAGCCTTTGCTGGTGAGAGCACTGAATTATTTCAGACTGGAGCTCTCAAGTTTCTGGTACAGGTTGTTAAACCCACCCATGGACACAAAGGTTGCATCTTACTGGATGCTCCCACCCATAATACTTTGTTACCTTTGTTGCCACGTGGATGTTGGATCCTTTCTCCAAAAGCAAAGTCACCATGTCAGTGTGACCTTCCTGGGAGGCCAGATGAAGTGGGGTGACTCCCTGCTTAGTCAAAATGTTGGTCTCAGCCCCATAGTTCAACAGAGTGGTAGCTATCTGCATCTGGTTTTTCTTGGCAGCAATATGCAGAGGGGTGTATCCATTCTGACACCAGCCAGGAAAAAAAAGGAAAATTAAGTTACCACAACAGCCATGTAAGCCTAAGAAGTCAGGCATCATAAAACTGTATTATTTGATGTTATGCCTGCTATTAGAGATGAGAGTTCATTAAATTTTCAAGGCCAGACATGTCCCACACGAGCCTGCTGTTGTGTTACTTTGTCCGTCTGTTACTCTCATCGCTTGAACCAGAACAAAGCCAGTCCTCACCAGGGTGGGCAGGACTGCTCCACCAGTACCTTCAAATTATTCTGAGTTCAACACCTACATTGTGTACAACTTATGTTGCAAATAATCCCTTTTGACCGGTGGTTTATATTCGCCATGATGAGTGATGGGTGCACACACTTCATCACATTATGCTTTTTCAGAGGATGTGGGTAGAAACGTGTTTGCATACGGAATTTTGATAGGTGTCAGTCACAAGCTGGAAACAGTAACGGGGTGGAATGTTTTTGTGATCAAATTAATCATTTAAGCACAGAGAATGGTGTTTTCTGGCAATAAGACAACTTCCTAATTGCTTTATAACACAAAAATTCCCTCATTTTTCTTGAGGTAAAAATCCCGGGTGCCAGCACACAGGGCCTGGGGGGGGGGGGGGGGGGGGGGGGGGGGGGGGGGGGGGGCGGTGCTTGGTTGGGTTGGCCTGTGGTTTTGTTGCTGGGTCTTTTTAAGTGGGAGTTTTCCAAACTATCGTGCTTTCCATTCACTGCCATGGAAACCACATTCCCAATACAGTCCCTGAGCATTTCCTCAAAGCTTGTAGATCAGCAGCGTTACACAGGGTAGGACACTCTGGTATTGCATCCATCTGGTCACCATTTTCCCCTTTTAGCAGCTTTTGCTTTACACAGAAATAGCACACCACCACTCCTAACCCTGGAATGATTCGTGTGCATAGTCAGAATACACATTTCTAAAGTCATTGCTAATATTACACAATAGTAAATTGACTTCCAGCTGCAATCAAAGCTCTGACAGGGCTGGGTCCTCTCAGGGCTCCTCACAGCGTCCCCTCAGAGCTCCCCTCACCTGCACAGTGATACCACACCACTCCTAACCCCGGAATAAAATTTCTAATGTCATTGCTAACGTTGCACAATAGTGAAGTGACTTCCAGCTGTGACTAAAACTCTGGGGGGACTGAATCCCCTCAGTATCGGGGCCCCCTCAGGGTCTCCTCGGGCCTGCCCTCAACGACGAAGTGACACCACGGCGCCGCTCCTAAACCTGAAATGAATTCCCCTTGTGCTTACTCTGCGTATTCCTGGTCAAAATACACATTTCTCACGCCACTGCTGACGCTGCACACCAGTGAAGAGCCTTGAGGCTGTGCCGGGGCCGGCCCCCCTCGGGCTCCCCTCATGGCGGGCGGGCGGGCTCACCTTGGCGGTCGCGTGAGGCGAGGCGCCCTTCTCCAGCAGCAACAGCGCCACCTTCTGGTTGTCGTAGTGCGCCGCCACGTGCAGCGGGGTGAGGCCGTTCTGAAAGGGCGGGTCCGGCGTTAGCGCGTTACGGGAGGGCGAGAACGGGAAATGGGACGGAAGGGACTCAGGTGAGATGGATGGAGGGGTCCAGGGGGACGCAAGGGACAGAAGGGACGCAGGGGGGAGTAGTGGGGATGGACAGCAAGGCCGTGGCAGGCAGCTGGCTGTTAGTGGGGAGAAGCAGCGCACCAGGCAAACCAGGGTGGCAGCCGCAGGCTTCCATAGCGCCACACCAGGGGAAATCTGGGATTTGCCCCTATGTTTATCCTTTGGGACTTTAGGCAGCTTGATGGAACTGGTGTTTCCTGAGCTGCAGACACACACCTGCCCTCAGAGCAGCCATGCACCCTCCTGCCATGGACCCAAACTCAACATGCTGGGTAGCAGCACTTGGCCATCACCCAGGGCAGACACGACCCCAACAAAACCACAGTCAACATGCAAAAGGAGCTGCAGCCTTCTTGGGGTGCGTATTTCACACAGTTCTTCCTTAAGGAAGAATCCAACACACTTCTGACTTTTTCTTCCCCAATAGTACCTTGCCAGCAGAATCAGGAGAGGCACGACGCTGCAGCAGGAGCTTTGCCACTTCCAGGCTCCCATACTTGGCCGCCACATGCAACGGTGTGAATCCCTTCTGAAAAATTCCAGGAAATAAACCACAGATGTTTGTGTTAAAGGTCATGCTGATCTCTTGTTTAAGAACTATCTGTCAAGCACTTACTCTTCAACCTCAGAATCAATAGCTGAACCTACCAGAAAAAGCAACCTCTCTTGAAAGCACTTTGAGAAGCATGAAATACAAGAAAATAGTTTCTCTTTTATTATTCTTCCTTTATTCTTCCCTATTTATGTGCTCTCAGGCTGGCAGACATTTTATCTGATACAGACTGTGCTAGCAACACACACTGCGTGGGGGCAATAAAGGCACTTCTTCAAATTTACCCCCCAAACCAGCTGCACCTTTTTTTGTTCCATGATGACAGCTTTACAAGTATTTCCTGCATCAATTGCTGCCAGTAACAATGAAACACCAATTAAATTCAGTGGGAAAAACCTCCAAATTCCAATTCCCTTCCTCCACTAGGGTCTGGTGAAAAATTATTTGTACTTGGATTTGTGTATTCATACAATCACAAAATTCTACTGAAGCTAAAAAGAGCCCTTCTCTTTGCCTGTTTTAATTAAAAAAAAACTGGTAAGGAAAGCTCATGGATGTATGACAGTAGGTGGCAGCCTGCACCACTGCCTGACAGTAATTTCGGAAAGCTGCAATGACCTATTTGCCTGGCACATAAGTGATTTTTAATGTTTACTATCATTATCATTTACTTCCACTAATCCCACCTCAGAAAGACTTTATATACTGGGTAATCTCAAACATTTTCAGTTCACAAATCACAGGTCTAAAACGATATTATCTAGTGGGCTCCATCTTCTCCTATCCATAATTAGAGAATGTTCCTGCAATACTAATTGCCATCAAGCAATATGGGAAATTAGGAAAGTATTTAGTGTATTTTTAGCCATTCTAATGTGATTTAACAGCTGGATAAAAGGAGAACAGCAAGCCCTCCCAGTAATCCATGGATCATAATTTGAAAATTGCTGCTTTAGTCTTCTAGACCCTAGAAGACATGGTGCTGTTCATAAACGTGTTTTAAGCTCCAGCTGTAAAACCAAGCGTACTTTTACAAATAGCAAAAATTATGTGACTCTCACTTATCAAATGCTTTAAATTTGGAAAAGATATCTTGTTATATAATTCTCTTCACAGACATCTACTTTCTTACATAGTCATCTCTCCCTTAGAAATCTATTTGTACAATTTTTTGGCTAAAAAACCCACTAGTGATTCTGGAGAGCATTTTTTTAATAATCCCAGACAAAATGGCCTGTTGTGTCACATGACACCTCATTTTAGAACCACTGAAAATAGATCCAGCATTCGATGTGACTGGGTAGATGCTGACTTATATGTTTTAGGAGCATTCCTTTCAGTTAGCACACAGCAGAATTATTTTGCTACTTAAGCAAATAAGGTATTGAGGAATAAAAGGCCTGTTCATAAAAACTGTCATTGTCATCCCGCCCCCCCCCTTTTTTTTTTTTTAATTCTGCTCAAAAAAAGCTGTGCCTGTAAAACAAAAGAAGAAACAAGGATATTTCAAACCTGTTGGGACTGTGTATTTATCAAGATCTGCATTTGGCTTCAGTGGCAACCAAACCAAATTTTAGATGGTAGCAAAGTAAGTTGAAATTTGATTAACTTGTGACACATTGCTCCGGTCCACTGGCTTGTAACCAACTAAATAAGAACACAACAAAAGGCCCAAACTACTTGAATTTCTCAGTGTGAAAGTACACTGGTCACAGAACAGACCTGCTCCTGTGCCACCAGCACAGGGATGTGAGGTGTTTTGCCTTACCTTGGTGGACATGGAGTGTGAGGCGCCCGCCTCGAGGAGCACGGAGGCGACGTCGAGCTGCCCCTCACGGGCAGAGATGTGCAGGGGGGTGTAGCCATTGGTGGTAGCAGCATCAGGGTGGGCCATGTGCTGAAGCAGCAGCTGCACAATCTCTGTCTTGCCCAGGCGAGAGGCGATGTGCAGTGGGGTCTGTTCTTCCTACAACTCAAATCGAGTGGGTCATTAGTGCTATGGAGCCACCCTGAGCACAGGGTCCTTGGTCCCCACAGACCTTCCTATGCATTTATCTTGCAGAGTCATAGGAAGTGATAGCAGAAAAAAAAAATGGAGTAATGGAGGAGAGGAAGGTGGAGAGTGATTCCTTCAGCCATGGTTTTAAGAGGAAAAAAAGCCATTGTAAGCAGAACACCTACCCTGGCTCGGGCATCAACCAGGGCCCCATTCCTCAGGAGGCAGCGAACCACTTCCACCTGCCCAGCACGTGCTGCCATGTGCAATGCAGTTTCTCCACGCTGCAGGAAAGCAAAAGCATTTCAGTGTCCTAAACTTCCAGGAAGAAAGATCTTGGCCAGTGTCAGTTCCACCCATGACAACTGGTGCTGAGACCCATCCACCTGCCAGCTGAGACTCTGGCTTCAGCCCCAGGGCGGGGTGTGAGTGTGTCATTGTACTTGGGAATGCCTTGGTTTGCCAGCTGGACAATCCCAGACAAACATAGCCTCAACCACTGAGAGACAGAATGAAAATCCCAGTTTAGGAAAATTCTGTGAGATAGACTAGCCCTGGGCACATACGTCCCTCAGCATTCTACGTAACAGGGTATCAGCTCATGTGCCACACAGATGAGAACACACTGAGCCTGTCTCCCTCTAGGGATTGCACGGCACAGGAGCCTCAAGATGGAAGGGGATATTTTTCCAGATGGTCCCTTCCTGCACACTGTGTGGAGCTGGCAGCATTAAGAGGCCTTGCAATGGCTGAGCACAAGTCAGCCAGCATATGAAATGTGTAAAATCTGTACTCAGCAGTGTGGCTCTGTCTCCCGGCTGTGGAATCCATCTTGTTTCAAGCCTTTTGTAGCTCACAGAATTTGAAGAATATAAAATTTTGGAAAGCTGACTGAAGCGATATGGAATTTCAGATCAGGAATATTCAACACATTTACTTTTTGCATAGGTTTTCAAAGCAACACTGAAAATGAGGATTCTTTGAGAACAGCGTTTCTAGTTTAATTGGGCTCTGTTCTTTGGGTGCAGTGTCCCAAGGTGCACTGAAACAGTCCCTGTGCAGCTCACCAGCACCTGGTACATCAGGTCCTGCAACAGCTCCACAACCTGGAGCTCTATCCATGTTATATCATGAGAACACAGCATGACCCATCATTTCTTTGTGTTGATTGTTCATATTTCTTACATCAGAGCTGGAGAATATTCTGTTTTAAGGCCTTTATTCCCTCATCTACCAGTTAAACTGCAACTGCCAAAATGAACACTCTAGTCAAGACCTTTTACATCAGAATCAGGAATCATGTCTTCTTGTCCTCATCTAGATAGAGGGAAAGAAGCAGCCTGTGCCTGCTAACAGGGACTTGTAATTACAGCAAACCCTCTTCACCAAGAGTTGACCTACCTTGTCATTTTAAAATGAACATTGTATTAACAGCTCTCATTAGTAGGTACACAACAACAAAATCCCACGGCCCACGCTACAGATCTTAATAATTCCATCTATGTATAAAGTTTATTACCTGAAGAATGAGCTTTTTAACATGTGAAAAACACTCTACAGATCAAATTTCTGCAATGACCTTTTTGTGCTTGAATTAGCAAAGCAGTTTTTGGCAACAGTAATTCAACAGGGAACATCAGCTTACCAATTGCAAGCCAAGACACCTGTGCAGCAGAAATTGTAAAGTGTTAAACTTTGCACATAAATGCCTGCTAACACAATATTTTTAACTGCTTCCCCAATGATTTTGTGTTGGTTTTTTATTATCAATAAAGTTCTTATATAAAGATTGCTTCCATAACAAAGTATTAAAAGTCTGTTTTTCACATAAATAATTCTGCAGGCTAACAATTTCACTGGGTTCCATGTAAGATTTTTCTAGCTGAGAAAAACAAATGAATCCAGTGTACCAGGATTACTATATTTTTCTTGGTTTTGTTGTTGGGAACACTCATCTATAACCTTATGTACTGAAAAAAGCTGCTTTCCAAGTACAGGTGGTCCCAAGTAGAATATTTGTTTATAGTGACAAATTCAAACAGTAAAATATCTTATGAAATACATCTCAGAAAATTATATTGCTCTTTTTGTTGGTTTGTTGGTTTTTGGGATTTTTTCTTGGTAACTGGGCTGTTGGTATACAAACACTGATTTCTATGGTAAGTCAGGTTCTGCATTTTGTGTTACATCCCGAAGGTCACATTTGGAATTTCCTGTCTAAGAGGAACATCGTGAGTTTCCCTGTTTTGCTTTTTATTTGATTGTTGGTGTTGAAGCATTTTATACTCTTTCACTGACAGGAATGACACAATTTCATGGTAGCCAGCAAAGTTATGCAGGCAGAAATTAGAGCTATTTGGACTTGAATTTCATCCTTCAGAACAGAAACACAGACTTTGTGGGATTGGGCTTACAATCAATTTTGGATGTTTTTGGTGAGTTTTGTCTGTTTCTAAGGAAAACTTTGCCTACTCGAGCATTGTTGTAGAGCACATGATACCAGAGATGGCTTATGACACATACAGCCATCGTTTTCCTCTCTTCACTCAAAATGCTACAATAATTTGCCCTAAAATGCAACAAAGTATCATTAAAATGTGACCTCGGGTTGAGCGACACGGTACCCAGAGAGTCGGTCCTGAGCAGATGGTTCTAGTGAAAGCCATACTCACAATGTTAGTGACATCGGGAGAGGCTCCGTTCTGCAGCAGAAGGAGGACTATGTTCAAGTGGCCCATAAATGCAGCCACGTGTATTGGTGTGAGGCCCGACTGCGAAACAAAGCAAGAGCAGTTTTACTCCTCTGCACGGCTGGAGAGAGGGGCTTCTTTGTTTAAATAAAACATGCAGAAAGAGAGGCATGACAGAAGAGAAAGAAAGAAGGAAGCAAAAAAGGAGACACAGAGAAGGAATGTTTCTGCAGGACATGAAATATTGTGCTACCTCTGTTATAGCCTGGATTGAAGCCCCATATTTCACCAGGAGTTCCATGACTTTGATGCGATTTTTCTTGCAGGCAATGTGCAGTGGAGTAAAACCATTCTGTGCAAAAGACAGTGATGTTAGTTAGAAAAACATGCAGCTACACTTCCCACACTGCTCCATGCTGGCACACTGGGAGCACAAGGGTTAGACTACCACAAGCTACTGTTCTTTAGGCACAACAGGTTATGAATTACAGACATCTCCCACTATCTGAGGCACAACAAAGCAGTGCTGCTGCTTTCTTCCCAGGCAGGAGAGAGAAAGGGAACCTCCACCTCCACACTTCACATGTGATATGCCTGTCCTGACTGCATGTGTGTGTGTGTATGTGCTTCCTGAGGCTGCACACCTGTCTGTGAGGAGCACTCCCAGTGCTTCCCAAGACTGCCTAACACAAGGGAAATCTAAGAAATTAGAGTGAACACTTTAAAATCAGTGCCTTTATAAAGCATTTCCTATATCTCTCTGGCAGAATCATGGAATCACGGAAGGTTTGGGTTGGAAAAGCCCATCTCCTTCCACCTCCTGCCATAGGCAGGGACACGTTCCACTATCCCAGGTTGCTCCAAGCCCCATCCAACCTGAACTTGGACACTTTCAGGGATGGGGCAGCCACAACTTCTCTGGGAAACCTGTGCCACCCAAATATCTAACCTAAATCAAGTCTCTTTCATTTTGAAACAACTTAAAGTGAGAAAGAGAGGAACCGAGTACTTCTTCCAGATTCCACCTAATGTTTTAACTTGAAATCTAAGGATCTGTAAGTATTTATTGTTATACTGATACATCAGCCTAAGGCGCAACAGCCATGTTTGTGTGTGTACATTCTGAGGTACCTTAAATAAACCCCTTCAGCTGTGCTGTCATGACACTCTGATGACAGTTAATGCAGGTTAAGTGTGTGTCTGAAGCTGAACAAACACATTATTCACCACACGTGAACATTTTAGTGAAAAGCACAGGTAACATGTTTTAGATAATGTTGAAAAATTGCAACATTTTCTAATGAAGAGCATCAGTATTGCCAAACAATCGACTAGCAGTAACCAGAACCCAGCAGTGAAATCTTAGTTTATGGGAAGAGATTATCACGTGACAATTATTCTACAGGCTGCTTCTGTTAAAGGAAATGTTAATTACCAGTTCATTTGAAGGTGCTTTAAAGCATATGCACATTGAAAAAGCTGAGAACTCACATAGTGCTTGTATCACCAAAGCATTTTGCAAACACTAAAAATTATTTTTTAAAATGTAGCTGAAAATTTATTCTTTGTAGTATTTATTCCATCACTGAACTCAGCTGAATATTGTTACTGTTTCTCCAGTTTCTAAAGAAAGAATCAAAACCAGGTGATGTTTTACCTCCTACACAACATCTCTCAATATATTTTATAGGGAGTTTTACTGTTTCAGAAGTTTCCATATTTTTCACTGAATTTCACTGCCTCAGTTGATTTAATTTTGCTACTTCTATTTAAGTGAGGAACAGTTTGATGGGGAGAGGAGAAGGCAGAAAAAATGTATTACTAACAGAAATTATGAGCTCCATTTAATGTATTAAACACTATCAACAAGCCAAAGGCGACAAGTCCCTGATGGGAGAGAGAGAAAATGAGGGGGGGGAAGGAGGGGGAGAGAAAACAGTTTGGTGGGAAGAGAGCAGAGAGGCAGCAGCCCAAGGGTGTTCTCCTTTTGTTTCAGATGTTTCACAGGGAGGGAAACAGAAGATATATTCCTGGTCATGGAAGGAAAGAAAGAAGATGTAGGGGCTACATGTGGGTAGCTGAGCAAAGTGCAGCTAGAGATAATCAGAAGACTGGCAAGAAAAACTAGGAAGGATGGAAACAGTGTAAAAAAGATCAACCAAGTGAGCATTACACTGAGAAAAACAAAACAAGAAAAGTGTAAGAGGAGGAAGCAAATGAGGCTATGGGATTTGTGGGTATGGAAAGGCCAAGAAAAATGAGAGGGCAGAAGAAAATGGTGTCAGTTCCAAGAAAGTAAAGGACAGGGAGAGCCCACACAGAAAAACAGTGGGTCCTACTGTGGGCAGGAAACTGGGAAAGGCATTTGAGTGCCCTGCAGTGGTGGTTCTGTGGAGGTCCCCAATGCAGCTGGCAATGGCAGAACTCTGGCCATGCAGGAGCTTCTCAAGTGTTCATAGACTCTTTCTCCCCCTGACAGAGTGCAATGTATTAGTATGTGAACTCCCAGCCAGCTAACAGTTCCTAGTAGAGAAAATTGTAACCTTGCCTGGCTTTGGATACATTAAACATTCTCAAAATGTTTCCAGAGTAAAATGTGATGTGTTCCTCCATGTTAGGGGCAATGGTTTGGTCAATGAGTAAAAGGAATCACACCTGGTATCCTGTAAGCGTAAGAAGTATTTTTTGAAAAGAAAGAAAAATGGTACCTAATAGAGGAAAATGTCATAAATTGATAAATGCAGAAACATTAGCTTTTAAATATGTTTTCCCTATGCCAATTAACTTACTAATTCAGTTGAAAGCCCAGAAATTACTTGTGTATTCTATCACCCCATATGGAAAACGGAACCATTAATTCAGTAAAACACCAAGGCATATATCAACATCAGCCAGAAACAGCTGTGATTTTATGGACTGTGCAGAGCTTCCAAACCTGACACTACAGTCACTTCTCATGGGGTGTGTTCCATGACCAGGCCTAAGGGTACAAGGCACAGCACTGGTAACCAGCAGGTGTGACACTCCTGTGGCTGCTGCACCGACTTAAGGCTGTGGAGTTTGCTGACAGTTCTCACTTAGCTTTCCTGGCAAGAGCTACCAGCCATGTTACGTGACCCAGGTGGGACAGGTTTACCAGGGCACGGGCGTTGGGGTTGGCTCTCTTGTCCAGCAGGAGTTTGGTGACACGGTAGTGGCCGCAGTGAGCGGCCACGTGCAGGGCAGTCAGGTAGTCCAGTGTCACGTCGTCCACAGGAGCCTTGTGCTGCAGCAGATGCTTGACACATTCCACGTGGTCCCCCTGGGCTGCCATGTGCAGTGGGGAGAGTCCATTCTGTGACAGAAGAGAACAGAACAAAACAGCAGCTGCTAGTAACCCCCACTTAGACTGTGGCACATAACAGGATATTTGTTGTTGTAGGTGCTGCTCAGTGGGCTCTGCTATTATACAAGTACCTTCCTCTCATTAGTTTCACCAAAGAGACAGAATTTGTAGGAAATGCATTAATTTTAGATCTGTGTTTTCCAGATGTGAGGAAGAACACACTGACATAATTTTCCAAGTCTGCAAAGTCCATAAAACAATTAGGAGAAACGGTCCTCATTATCGTATATGAAGGATCAGAAAATATGTGCCAGGCATAACTTCTCAGGAGTGACTGACCCAGCTTTCACATGTCTGTGTACTACAGTCTCAGGAAGCAGCACAAGGGAAGTGCTGGCAGCAGCACTCCACATCATGTGTTTAGTCTGTTTACTCTAAACTTTAGTTTAGAGTGAGGGGCAAACAAGTGTATGCTTTTCATATATTTGGAAAGGATTACATAAGAAAACCTTATTTTGGATCATTCTACCCATTAATACATCTCCTTTGGGAAGACAGTTACATTCCTGTCTTCCGCCTTGTCCTGTCTGCAACACTGAAAGCTGTGTAGAAGGTTACAGAGGCATTCCATACTCTAAGAGGGCACACACACACCTTGGTCCGTGCGAGCAGTGGGGCACCGCGCTCCAGGAGCAGCTCCACAACCTGGTCATGGCCACTTCGTGCTGCACAGTGCAGTGGGGTGAGTCCATCCTTAAATTAAAAGGAGAGAAAGCAAATGAGCACATCCCCGACCGTTTGTCCCGGCACTCTGGGGAACAATCTGCCAGGAATGCAGCCCCACATGTGTGAAAAAGCTCCTTTTCTGACTCCTAACTGAAGCTGGCTCCACAGCATGAAGTTTGATCCCTGCACTTCTTTGCACCAGTGAAGGACACTCTAAGGTTACTGTCTGAGAGAGGAAGGCTGTTGTGTGCTGAAATATCTTCTCAAAGGATAATATGAGGGTGCACTGCCTCATCCCCTCCCTCCCCTCTGCATGGCTTTGAGACTGCATTGTCTCTCCCTGGGCAATGCCTGCTGGGTTGAGGATGCTCCATAAATCAGTCCATGTCCTTTGGATTGCTTGTGATGCAGGGATGAAACAAGCAATGCATATACCAGAAAATTTGCTCTAGAAATTTCTTGTGCTTTTAAACAGGCATCAAGGTAAAGACGATTTTAAAAAGAGAAAAAGAGAGAAACAAACAGAACCAAATATTTCACTTCTGAGATTGAGAGGTGAACACAGAGCCAACAATTGTTTTCTAAAACTGCTGTCAGACCACCAACTCCACAATAGTTTTTTCCATAGCAGAACACCATCCTGTACCAAAAGACTTGCTCAGGATACTATTAATGTTACAGCAATGGTAGCAAAAGATGTGTTGATTAACTATTTGGACGGATGGGAGAATGAATTCTAGGCTTTTGTATAGTTTGGACTTTATGCAGAAAAGTAAGTATGAGACTAGAAAAAGGGTTGTGAAAGAATATTAGTGCAGAATGACAGAAAAAAGGTAACAGTAGGATATGAAAAGCCAACTTTTCATCTCATTAGCCCTCAGTATTGTTCAAGCATGGACTCAGAGATGTCATCAACACTCCCTCAACATAAGTGGCTTTACAAAGGTGAAACAGGAATAGTTTTTAATTCAAAGGAAAGCCTTCTCCCTTTGAGACATGCTGCTCATCTTGTGTGACATCAATGCTGTTATTCTAAGGAGCCCATTGAAGAATCCAGTAACAGCTTAATTAAAAGGAGAATATACTGGTCTGAATTACTCAGAGGCTAAAGGAGGAACAAAATGGCAAAACCATGGCACTAAGGAGGAGTTGGTGACCCTGCTTCATACACAGATGGACTGTTGACCTTGCTAGGGTTTGGAGGAAATCTGCATCACTAAATTTTTAAATTAAAAGTAGCTCTAGACTACATGGTGCCATTGCAACTGCAACCTCATTTTGGCAAACACTGCCCTGTAACACCCTACAGAAGGCAGCTCCAAGAAGCAGAGCCTCTCTCATGCCCGGTTTCCAAAGGACAGAGCCCTTTCCAAGTGAGCAGCACCACAAAGCTCCATAGCTGCAAGGAGCTGAAGTCTGCAGGAAGAATTTTCTCCCTTACTTATCTAGTTTTTCCACAGGCTTTTGAGACACACTGAAGGGGTTAAGTGTGCCTTGGTGCTCCCTGTCTCAGAGGCATCCCTAAACCCCCCAGATTTGCACTGAAATTCCACAGATAGAATATCAAACCTAAAAAGAGAACTTGTGCCCTTCAGTGCTGGCAGATGAGGTCAGTGTGAAGAATTAGGTTCTTCACTAATTTACTTGTTTTTTATGCATTGAAACTTCAGAGTGCTCTAAACCAAGTCTTTTTACAACCAACCGAGGTATATTATCATCTCATTGCCAGAGGGAATCCTACAGATAACTCCCATTGGCATTACAAAGGTAAGAATATATCTCCAATGCATTTCTAGGGAAGGTATTTATTTGGTATTTCTTTCCAGTTTCTGGCCTCTTGTGCTCTGCATTTTTAATCAATGTGGGAGGTTCACTTTCCGTATCTGCATAGTGGCTTTGATGTTACTCTATTTAATAAAACAGAAGAAAAAAAAAAAAAAAAGGAAAATTGTGAGAATCCTTGAACAAAAGCAGGACAAATCCCGAGAGGGAGATAAAGAAGTAAAACATAAGCTAAGAAGCACATCAACTCCACAAGAAAGTCTGGCTGAAACAAAAAAAAAAAAACTTAAATAATTTAAAAACATGATTTCTTCTTTGTTCTTATCTACAACTCCCTTTAAAAGCAGATCTAGAAATTTGCTACCTATCCTATTCTACCCTGCTATTGCTGTTTTGAGGACTTTCCACAGAATCCTCTTCTCTTTCCTCTTTCTGCTCTGAGGAAAATAGCATGTATATTTTAAAATTATTGTATATTTAATACTTCCAATTCTTTTGCTTTTATCTTTTATTCAAAGACTAGAGAAACTGCAAAGAGAGAGCTACTGTAGTACAAGAATTAGTACAGAAAACAATGCAGACAAGCTGACATGAGCAAACATTAAGAGATGCACTGGTGTACCAAACTAATCCTTTTTTGCACCATTATCTATTTGCCATGAGCCTCAGTGCTCTCAAATCGACTTCAGGAGTTGGCTTAAGTACTTTGTCAATCATTCCTTTGCTAATTGAAGAACACACAGTGACCAATACATCAGGGACATCATTTGACAGACTATTCAGCTGTGGGTCAGAGGGGGACACACTTTGAAGCACAGATAAAGGCTATCCCATAAACACAAAGGCTGCCATGCCAGGATACAAGAAACTCAGCAATTTTATGTTTAAAGAAGTTCAACAATTATCTTCTCGCCCCAGATTGTGTGTAATGAAGACTTAAAATGTTTGTAGCTCCCCATTGACATCTCACACCTGATGTTCTGCTGTTCCCACACATGGTATTCTCCTACCTCACACCCTGTGTTGTAACTGACAGCTGGGTCACCCTTAGGAATGACAGTGCAATCCCCTCTGTGTGCACGGAAGCCAGAAAATTCCATCAATCCTGATTCCCTCTTAAATGGTTCTCAAAATATAAGGAAAACTTCTGCTTTTTTTCCTTGAAAATCAATCACTGGTCATTTTTTAACCTGCCAAATTAATTCTGAATTCTGTCCGTGACTCCTAACTGTAGGGTTAACAAAGATGAATTATTTGGTCATTTCACAAATGCTTTCTTTCAGCTTAGCAGAGACACTGAGACAAAAAGCAGCTGTGCTTATGAGGGATTTTTAATGGGAAATGATGTGGGCAGCACTTTCACAGGACAGTTGCTCACATTCAGTGCTCATTCGACCAAAAAGTGATGATAGACATGAACATCAAAGGCCAAAATTATCAACAAATTATTCTAAACTGCAGGTGCAAGTTCTCATTTTCATAAGGGTGAAGTAAAACTTTAGTATTTCACATGTCAAACATGCAAAATTGTCTAAATTTTCTTGACAAATAAAGGGCTTTTAATTTGTTCATTTTTCATTATGACTAAACCTCATCTCTTTAAAAATGAACGAGGCAAGTCTCCCTCTTGCTCTAAGCTCTTGGCATAATTAAACAGGCTGTAAAGTATTCCTCCAGGTCTGCCATTCACAGTACAAATTTGAAAAATTCTGCAAAAGATATACCATGTGCTTACTTGAGTATTAAGATAGTAAGATAAATCACTCCAAATACTGGTAATTTTGTAATTAACTTGCTTAGACAATTCATACAATAATCCCTTCCCATTCCCTTGTAAACATTATATGAAGTCACTCAATTTTTTATAGGAAATATCTGCATTGTGATTAGATATTTATAATCTGACATGGCTTTAGGAACAGCAAAAGCTGCCAATGAATTATTAGTGCTCTTTGCATGTAGGAAGGCAAGGAGAAAATGTCACAGCAGCATTACTGCAGGAACAAACACTGTACAGAGCACGATGCCAAGGCAGGGCCAGGATCCTGCTACAATGGTCACCACTCCCATGTGGGAATAGCAGAGCCAAGCCTGTTTTGTCTGGATGCAGATGTACAAAAGGATATATCATTACTAATAAATCTCAGCAGGCTTCCAGAACGAGTGTTAAGGGGTGTCTGAAGCACATTCCCCACAAAAAAAAAACCCCAAACCCACCAAATCTGAGTTGTGCCGCCCAGAGTTTCCCTCCTTTTGTTTTCCCATTGGTACCTTTCAGCTGAGTGACCTGGCACTTCTCTCAGCTCCAGCCTCCTCCTCCCTGTGGCCCCTGTCCAACCCAAATGGTGCAAGCAGACCTTGTCCCACCATTCCCACGCCTATCCCCGCTCCAGCTGCCACGCTCCAGGCACACAACATGCTTCCTTTCCCACACAATAAGCTTTGCCTTCCAAGACTAGATGCTCTCTTTCATTCCATGGATTTGATTCAACTGCAAATATTCAGGATGAAAGGCTGCAAGAGGATACTTAAGAGAAGTCCCAGAGCAAGAAAAATCTAATTTCAGTGTTGGCAAGACTGAACAGGAAGAACATAAAATGTGTGACAGCTTCAGTGGCTCAGACAGGTGACAGTGTTCTTCTCCCTCTGAAGGGTGTTTGCTTACTCCCACAAAAATAGAAATTCCAGCAAGGTGATAAAAGCCTGTGAATAAAACTGTATTTTAAAAGCAAAAAAGCATACAGAACCAAAAAAAGCCTCATATTCTTGTTCTTTTTTTCCCCCCATACAATTTATAGAGAGAGATGATAAAAATAGAGATAATACAAAAACTGCATTCAGAAAGAATATTCCTTGTAATAGCCACCAGCATTTTCATATTCTGAAGGTGCATACTTTAATGACTCCATTATATGAGGAGTTTTTAAAATAGAAATACACGCATTTTGGCCATGCTAAAATTGCTTTTAAATGCTGACAATAATTCTCCCTGTAAGAATCCTCAGTGTGTTCCAGGAAGGCTGTAAATGCTTTCCTTCCCTCAAAGTGAGAACTGGTAATTGTCACACTACCCTTGATCACCTGACAGTGAATTAATCATAAATTAAACTTTCCATCATCAATTTTTCTCACCCTCCAACTCTAATCATCAGAATCTGCATGGGTCAGAATTTTGGCCAAATATTAAAATTTTAAATAAAATTATGTCATTGAAATTCTTACTAATATAAGAGAATGTATAGAGAATATAGGTTTGAGTAAAATTTTGAATATTAAATATTTTAGTGTGGGAATTTTTACCCATTAATTATTTAGTGAACAAAAGTGCAGTAAAGGCTTATATGTAAGTGGAAGTTGGAAAACACATACTAGATATTATATAATAATAGATGTCAAAATAATATTTTAATATTTTGCTATCATCTAATAATTACCTAGTGTAAAGGCAATATTTTGTTATTATATAATATTATAACACTATCTGTAACAGATAGTACTAATAAAACTATCTTATTATTGTGTTTGAGAATGAAATTTCCGTTTCTGCTTTGGATACAATACAAAAGATAAATTAAATTTCACATTTTAAAAACTTAGTGAGGACTTGGTTGAGAAAAAAATGGTAGAACTCACCAAAAAGATAAGTAAAATATTATTTTAAAATATGCAATTGTGTCAAGAGATTTACCAGCATTTTGACACTTCTATGGCTTCGTGAGAACTGCCATAAAATTTCAGCAAATACATTCTGAAATGTATAGAAAATAAAAATACTAATTCCTGCAAAAAGCAGAACTTTCCTTTGACATGCTGCATTAAGTATGGAACAGCAGGACACATGCATCATTGACTCCCTTTGAGGAAAAGACATTTTAATTTCTATTTTTAAACAACACAGGGGCTCCTAAAGAATCATTCCAATGTAACATTTTCAAACACAGAAAGCTTTCACAGATTAACTTTGCAAAACTGAAGTACTGAAGCTCATCTGCAATCCGCTAAAATAAGTGTTTGCATCTTAATTTATGCAGCATCAGATGTCATATAACAAAGCAAGCTAAAAATAAACGGAATGAAAGCAGTGAGGACTGTTTTAACTGAAGAGCTTATTTTGATGTGGTGTGGAGCACAAGAACTTGGCAGTGATACATCCTAGTATTGGAATTCTGCTGTTTTGCAGTGTCTGTGACCTGCTGGAAGAAGGCAGGCGTTCCTGCAGAGCCAAGGGAAGGCAGTAGGGAAGTCAAGATGTGTTAGTACCGCAGTGGGACAGGCGGGGTCTGTGCTGCCACGGGCAGAGCACACGCAGCACATCCCTGCCTCCTCCGCACCGTACGGACTCACAGCCAGAGCCAGGCACACGAGGTGAGCGGACAGAGCACAGGGAGAAGAGAGACACACCCAGATAATGTAAACAGCTGACACAAAGACATGGACAGCAAAACCAAGGCTCTGGAATCTTTCCCACATGAGGCACATGCCACCGTGAACCCTGGAGCAGGGAAGAGGTGGAAGGTGACGGGAAGCTGGGGGGCCTCTGCAAGCTGGGATACGTGTGCCTCAGGGTACCTGAATGGGTTTTCAGGGTAACTTTGTACTGACATTTTGAGCCCATGTAGCAGCTGACAAAGGGCGGGGAGCTGAGACAATGAGAAGACTAAAATTGGTCCCTCCAACCTACGTTGGGCAAATGCTGTTCTCTCAGGTTCATTCACAACTGCGTTCAACCTTTGCGGGTGAGCAGGGATGGGAAAAAACTTTGACCTCTTAAAATCCAAAACATCCCTTACAATCTTATGTGTCAACTTGTCTAGAACAATATCTAACTACTCAACAGGAAATAGGTGAATTCAATACTGCCATTCCAAAGGTCAGACGAACTATTTCTGTACAACATGCTTAGGGGCATGTGGAATATCCTGACTGAAGTATATTATTAGCATTTCATTCCTTTTTTCCGTGAGATTTTAGGTGTTTACTGTGGAAAATGTGAGCAGGAGTGATTTGCTGCACACCTGCTTGAGAGGCAGGTTTTTCCATCAGCAGTAGTTTTAAAAAATAAAAAATAGTGAGATATCATTTCATAATCAGAAACCAAATCACAAGCACATGCACAGTTCACAATAATCATGACTGTCTTAAGAGCTTATGAAGCAATAAATGGTTAATGTAATTAATATCTAAGTAACTGCAGAGGTTTAATCAACCCCAAAGGTAGCTGACTGCAATATCTTCTACCTTCCTATCAGGTTAAACAAAAACTCTCATGTCCAGCTCTAAACTTTGTGTTCTAAAACACTCTTGATCACTTGGACACGTAATTTTGCAGACGAGCTGCTTAAAAACCAGCAGCTCCTAAGAACGAGCCCTATACAGCTGAGTCTGAATAAATGATGTTTTCCCAGGTGATTCCAGAATCCCATCCGAAATAATTAACCCTGCCCATATAAAACGATGTGTTGGGGGTTTTTTTTTGCCCTGAATGACTGTGAAATCACCCATAAAAAAAGGGCAGAGAGATGATGTGACATTTCAATAGGACAACTGGGAGGAGAAAGCCAGTGAGAGTTACCTAATTAATACTCCATGCTTTGTCTGGGGAAGAGACACGTGGCTGCTGGCTCTGAGGAGGTTACTTGTCCCTGTATCAGCTCTCCAATAAAAATGGACTGAGCTCACTAGAGCTTCCACAGGCTATACCGCGACTGGCACAGACATTTAGGGGTCAGGGGACTGAAAGGATTAGCTGAGTCCAGACCTTTCATTTCCTCTTGCTGTGCATTCCATGTGTTGTGCATCATCTTGTGTCGTGTAAGGTTGGACTAATTAACAGGCTTATTCCCTAAAAACCACCAGTTTCATCAGCTTTTTCTTGTATAATGTAGGCAGGTTATACAGGAGACTAAAGGAAATAATATTTCTGCCTCCTACTATCACTAACACCAGCTGTTCTTTAGTCTGATACCATAGAAAAGAGTCTATATAAAACAAACACACAAAAAAATCCCCAAAAGCAAGCAAGCAAGCAAGGAAAAAATCCCAGTCCATTCCCCAGCAGGGACAATATCATATTCAGGGAACAGAAAGACTCACCCTGGTTTTGGCATCGATCTGCCCTCCACGATCCAACAAGAGCTTCACCATGTTTGTGTTTCCCCTTTTGGAAGCCACATGCAGTGGGGTGATTCCATTCTACACCATGAAAAGAACAAACAATGAGCTGGATGGATCTGAAGGTGTGCAATGGGGGTGAATTTGGGTTCCGATCACAAAAAAATGAGACCATCACATTGTAGGGAATAAATGAGAATGTACTAGAGCATCAGAGCTCCATATAAGCACACACCATACAAGCTAGAGTTAGTAGTTCCTTCCCACACAAGATTCCTTCTCCATTGTTTTGGGGTCCTTGAATAAAGGGAGCAGAGCATCTGCCCAAGCAGCAAACATTGCAGCCCCAGGTCAAGACAAATGCACAAACATGTATCAGAGTCCCAATGAGCCAATAGTCACAAAACACTGATGCATTTCAATCACTGCAACGTACACAGAGGACACAAATGCGTCACTCCTACACAAAGGAACCTTCTTGTGTAGTGCCAAGAGCATAAAGGGTTGGTAGGCTGTGTAGGCTGTGTAGGCTGAAAGTCCTTGAAAACACTTTGGGTGAGGCAAGAGGTAATATTAGCAGCTACTCCAGATTGGAAACAGGAGGGAGTCAGTCTAGAAGGCAGAACCCTGAAGTAATTCAAAGTGTCTGGCAAAATTAAACAGCAAACTTGTGACCTGGGAGCTGGGTTGAGCTTACCAGAGGTTTTCACTTCAAACTACATAACATACAACAGCAAAGAGAATGTACTATGTAACTCTGCAGTTGTTTACCATAAAAGAGTAGTCATGATTACTTCTTTTATTGTTGAATTTATAGAATAACAATATACTTTAATTTCTGGTTTTGAAATATAGTTATATGTGAAAACATCAAATTAAAGTGGTATATCAAATACTGAATACTGAAAAAGCCATCTATTTCTAGAGTACATCTAGCAAACAGAAAAGCTGAAGGGAGCTGACACATTATAAGACCATCAGCTTTCTGGAGCTGGCCAAAGGATCCTGCTTCCTCCAGCTGGGAATACTGGCTCTTACACAACTCCCAAGGCCTCCAAGGCATTGCAGGGAAACAACCATTCAGAATTATGGCAAAAAAGACATTTTTGATCCCAACAGAACTTCAGCATAACTTTGCCCCTTCCTTCACTCCACTCTTGCCTTAGTTACCCAAAGAAACCCTCCCATTTCTGTAGGCCAGCAGGAGCAGGAAGATGAAGGGCTGAGCCCATACCCTGGCTGTGAAGTCGACTGCAGCTCCACGGTTCAGCAGCAGCGTGGCCACGTTGACGTTGCCATAGTGGGCAGCGATGTGCAGAGGGGTAAAGCCGCTCTACAAAGGGAAACAGCCCTGGTTATGGACATCTTCTCATACAAGAGCACCACCTGAACTAGAACTTGAGTTTAAAATGCTGCCCAACTAATGCAATGTGCCAATTCTATTCAGCCCATGTCCACCTATATTAGAGCACTGCCTTTCAGGCAGAGAGGCCAGTTTTCAGGTGGGAGATTATTAAAAGTGCTTCATTCTTTCATTCCCCAACTCAGTCCCCTGCATCAGTGGCCAATAAGATCAGTGTTTATCACAGAAAATATTAATATATTAGCCATTCTTAAAGAAAATAAAGCAAGTTCCTTATTACCATTTGGAAGCAACATGGGTCTTTTAAGCTGCATCTATTTATTGGGGTTGGAAAAACGACCACCAAAGTTGTTGGATTCTTATTTTACTCCTCTTAGAAATACGGACAACATATTTCCTACTGGATTTTTTGGTTTGTTTCTGTTTTTCGAAAGCAGTAATTATTCAAAATATAATTAGAGTTTGGTTTACATGAGAAATTACTAGTAGCATAGTAAAAGAACCATAATTATTTATATTTATATACAATTTGGATTGCAAAGGAACTGAAGAAACTTTGTAATCTATAAATGAAAAAACCCATATTTATTGTGTTTTGAATACTAGAAGGTGAAACCTATTCCAGGTATGAGATGTAGAATCGCTTGACAACAACATAAAAAAAGATAAAATTTTCAGAAACTAGGACAGAGAGCAAGCTTTTATTCTCGTAAGTAATTCAAGTAGAAATGGCCTTGCTTTTGAGGTTTCCCTGAAGAGTTTTACACTGATTTGATTGGATCCTGCTGGTAGTTATAGAAAGGGAGGAATACTTCTGACTTCTTGACTACAGTGTGCTCTCAGCTAGGTTTCCTTCCTCTCAGTATCCAAACCACCATTTTAGGCTACTCCTGGAACAAAGGAATACGGGCACGTGCTGCCCTCCTTCAGCAGGCACTGCAGCACCCCTTGCCATTTCCATTAGGGAAGAACATACCCATGGAGCAGGGAAGCTGTCACCCTTCAGTTCACATCACTGCTGCCTCCTGGCAGCCTGCTCATGTGTGCACACACGAAGAGGGAAGCACCTTCCCATGGGCATGTGCATCCATAATTCATTCCCTCCTCCAGCAGAGAAATTCCATTATTCAAAAACAGATATTGAAACAACAATTACATTCATGAAGACTGCTGTTTCTCCTAAAAGGAGCAGTGATCTTTGGGGAAAATCCTAGTCCAAGCCAACCAACTCCATGATTTTTAGTGGAAGTAAAATCCATATAAGAAATGTGTTATTTACTGCAGGTAAATTCTGAGTATGTACTGTCTCCGAGGGCTTTGCAAAACTTTATGGAAAAGACTGTAATAAGGAGAACGGTAAAAAGAAGCAGATGCCCTGAACAAGTTTTTACTTTGGGGAATTTGATTATGCTTATTATCGTAAAAGACAAAAAATTAATTTTACCATTATTCTGGCTGAGCCAGACACCCTGACTTAGTTATGCAAAGTGCATGCATTTTCATAATTAATGAAACGGAGCTAAAAAAGCATCTTTATCCTCTTAGCTCCATTACTCGCTTCAGACTCCTTTGGACTGATGTGAATTCTCAAAACTGTCCTTCAATACTGACACTAATAAAAATAAAATTTAAGACAAAAGACGAATAAAAATAGTTTTTCTGAGTTGCAAATTTCTATGTACTAAAAAAAAAGTAATATCTTCACTTTCATTGCTAAATAATCAAGAAATATTGGAAAAGAGCAGAGAAAATAATCAAAAGTAACAGAAAGAATAATTAAAAATTATTGATCTCGGTACCTCAGTCGTCCTATTCACCATCATCTGATGCAGCATGGTTTGGGAAAAAGAGGAACAATATTAAAGACTGGCCACAAAATGAAGAACTATGTTGCTTTTTCTGAAATGAGTTATGCTGTTAATTATGGGAAAAGCCATTCAAGCATGCATTAATTTTAAACACAACCTATGTTCCCGTGGGCAATAAACCAATATCCTATTTAATGGGGAAGCAGTGATTCTGCTTCCGTTCCAATGGCTTCTGGTTCACAAATAATGAGAAAAAGCTGGTTACCAAAGAAATGGGAGGCGTAACTAAAAAGTGAAAAAATGAGCACTTTGTAATTACTGTGTAGCTTAACACTGCAAACTTAAAGGTATTACTGGTGCTGCTGGTGGAGCAAGTTGTCCTTGCCCACCGCAGCAGTTCCTTTTCCCCATGAGGATACAGGGATTCAAGGTGCTGTCCCTGGGCCCGGAGCCCGCCCCGTTACCTTGGACTGCACGTCGGCGTTGTGGTCGTTCTGCAGCAGCAGCGCCGCCGACTTGGTGTCGTCCTTCCTGGCGGCGATGTGCAGCGCTGGCAGCCGCACCTTGCCCTTGGTGTCGTTCTCCAGCAGGATGGCCACCGCCTGGTTGTGTCCCTGCTGCAGTGCCACAGCCAGAGGGGTGAAACCGTCCTGGGGGGCAGGAAACAAGGGGTGCTCAGCATAGCCCGACAGCCTCGGGGAGCTGCGCCTCGCCCTTCGCACACACCAACTCGGGAAGCAAGTTCCCAGCTGTTTTCCACCTCTGCACTCCATCTCCAGGGACATAAGATTGGAGACACAACATTTTAACTCTTTCAAAAACCTTCAAAAGGCTTCCAAACATTTGAAATGCTTTCAAAGATCTTTTACATTTCAAAGTAGCCTTGGTTTAAGTCAAGTGCAAGCAAAGGATCATTCTACAGCATCTCTATTAATTACTTCTCATCTTAAAATGGGTCACAAAGCATATTCTTAGCAATTTTTTGGTAAATTTACCGAGCGCTGAACAGTGTTGATGTGAAAAATATAGAGAGAATATGTTTCTGAATACCTCACATCTCTGCAAAAAGAAAGTGTATCAAATGTGTTTGCTGCTGTTCCCGTTCCAAGTTACATATGAACCACGACCCAAGAAACCCAGATCATGTTTAAGGAACATGATTTGAAGGAGGAAAATATCACATTATTTATATTTTTTTGAAAAAGAAAATCAGAAAAAGCTCTTCGCTTGTCATTCATAGCTTTAGCTTTGTTTATAACTTAGTTTAAAGTTCTCTTGCTCCTCCCTATGTGCCTGGGATGGCCAGTGCTTTAAAATCCATGATAACATGATATCAGCTTGCTCTCCTGGCCAAAGTAGGATGGGCTACCAGATATTTCATTCTGATTTCAAACTGATCCCTTGCTCTGGTCATGCATCCTCCTCAAGCACAGGTGTGCTGTAACCACATGAGAGATGGGACAGCATTGCTTTGGAATAGGAATATGGAAAGATGAGAGAAGAATAAAGGCCAAGTTAGGAAGGAATGAGAGCTAACATATGTTGGAAGAAACATTTGAAGAATTGCACAGGCAATTTTTCCCCTCAGTAATCTAATAACTTTCTCTCCCTTTTGCGTCGAGCTGTGGGTAGGTGCATTGTAACAGCGATACTGCTGTGGGGGTTCTGTTTGTAATAGAGATTAAATTCTGTACAGTGAATTAAAAAGGGGGAACAGCTGACAAAACAGCTGAACTGTAAAGATTATTCTGAGATTGGGGCTACATAAGGTGTCGAAATGGCTTAATGCATTTGCCTTTTGCCTCTGGGAACATGAGAACAAATCCTGGATTAGAGACTCTGAAACTGAGCTCATCCTTACTCTCCTATTTTATCTGCACATATATAAGTGTGAGAGGAAATGAAATGCATCCAAAGGCAGTGCAAGTTTCAAGGCTTCAAAGACAAGTTCATCCATTTGATTTGCACCATTTCATCTCCCACCCTTCTCTAAAAGGACACAACTCTTTCTGCATTCCCTTTCCTATTGTCTCTGGAAAGCACGGCTGACCGAAGCTTGGAGACAGCTTTTCACTTCCTCACGTCCCATGAGGAGGGCCAATCTTTGATGCTAAACAGCAGGGCTTCTCCCTGCATTTCAACGGCATCCACAGTTCAGGCTGCCATCCCTCCTTACTGAATGTAACATTTCTTCATCCTATTCATGAGATGAACTCTGGGCATATATGAAAGCAATGCTGGCTCAGGCCTTCCTTCAGGAACATTCACACAATCATGGAAACCATCACCTCAGCAAGACCTGAACCTAAAACTGACCTAGTTAAGCAGTAAAGAGGTCAAGAGCCTTTACTTGACAAGCTACAGAGTGAAAACTGATCTTTCTGATGGCAGAAGACAAATTTGGAGTCAGGGTCAGAGTAGGAATATATTTTACTTTTTCTCCTCATTGCCTTTTTTATAAAATCAGACTACAGAATGAGTTCTGTGGATGTCTGCATTTAAACAGAGGCCACGAGAATTAGAGCCATCTCACCCTCACAATTCCTGTAAAATGAATGAATTCCCAGCCAGCAGAAGTTACTGGGAGCTGGCTGCCAGCAGGTGACTGTGGGCTGCAGCAGGGCTGGTCTCATGGAGAGCCCCAGTTCCACCTGGCTCTTTCACAAGGACTGTGTTTCTGCCACGTTGCCTGGCAATCATCTGAGATTTTGTATTTCAGAAAGCTGACCTGCAATGTGATCGCCACTTCTATGAGGGGATTATTTTATGAGCTGTCATCAAATAGTACAGTATCCACTGAGAGAAGGGACAGTAAGACAGCTGTTAACACTGACAGGTTTGAAGGGAAAGAGAGGGAAAATAAATGCACCAGCATTTCAAATTCATCTGCTTGTGAAGGCAACCCAGAAAGGGAATGTTTCTGGCCAGGCTGGAGAAAAGAACACGAACAAAAGCTCTGGCCAGAGAGGAATTTTGCTATAGCTACTGCTCATGGCACATCCACAGAACAAACAGGAAGATACACTTTGCAGCATAGAGCCTGTTCACTCGCTCCCTTGGATGGAATAAAGAACATTCAGCACAAAGAGGGAACAGAATGAGCATAGTCCTAATGACCAATAAGTATTCTCCATTGCCCCTAAACCCCCTCATATGCAGAAGGAAGCTTGTGGGATTCAGTTCCTCTTGAGATGGAGTCCCCTCTCTCCAACTTAGGTGTCTCTCCTGCTTGCACAGGAGTTAATGAAGGTTTACAATCCACATTCCCAGCTAATACCATCCTTCTGCCTATTTACACCCACGTGGTCCAGCAGTAGAAATAAAGTGTGGGTGGAGAAAACAGCCTGCAAAGCTCATTGATGCAATCCTCGTTAGCCATTTGGTTTCCAATTTACACTAGTCACAGCCAATAACGAATACTCACAAGTTATACCAAATCACAGGAGAACCTCAGAATCAGTGTAACTTAGGGGAACAGCAGCAAGAGCCTGGAGTAGGTGAGCTCCAAGTAGTTGTGTGAACCCAGCACTACAGAGAGATGCACCACTTCTGAATTGAGCTACACAATTCTGTACACAGCCCACACAGTTCTGCCTTCAAGTGATCTGAACACAGAGGCAAAGAAAAAGATGAGAAAACCCCCTCACCTCGGTAGCTGTGCTTTGGTTGGCTCCATTCTCCAGGAGATATTTCACCACCTCAATGTGGTTCTCTTGAGCTGCCATGTACAAAGGAGTAAAGCCATTCTAGGAAGGACACCGGAGAAAAGAGCGTCACACGGAAATGATATGTACCAACAATAATGAACCACAAATGGATACACAGCTAAAAATGCATTTGTGTTCTTGTAACTCAACGTAAGAAGAACAGCCTTGCATTTTTCCCTTAATACACTCATGTTCAATGCCATTTAAACCCACAGAAGTCTCCACGCTTTCACATGCATTTTCTTCTGACATATTTTAAGGAAGCAATGGACATACTAATTATTAATACAGCTATTCCTTGCTGATACTGCTCAGGGATATAAAGCTGGCAATAAAGTTTTATGAAAGCTGACAGGAAAGCAAGAGTTTCCTCCATTTATTACATTCACTTAACTGAAGACGTCATCCCCTGGAGCCCATGAAGTCCATACCTTCTGACAGGCTCAGCAGAGACGGCTTAACATACTACGTAAAATTTTGTAATACATAAAACATTGCAAAGCATCCAACATAAAGGAACTCGGCTTTGCAAAGGAGCAACTGCATTTCTGACCATTCAGCAGGTTCAGTTATAATTTAATTAAAAACATACATCAAAATTACCTATGTTTATTAAAAGAGTTTGCTCTGACTAAAACATAATTTTAAAAAATTATTCTAAATCAGTCAACTTACAGTAGAAACGTGAGTTCTTTCTTCGCAATAAACTATTTTAATGCAAACAATTGTAATTAATTACCTACAAAATCTTGATGAAAGAAAGGCATGGAAGTGAGCTGACTGCCTGAACAATAATTTACTTCTAAGATGACCTTAGAAAATTCTTCAATATTCTGTAGATTACTATGTAACATAAGAGAACATAATCACCTCTACTTCTGGCTTGAAATGTCACTTTTAACTTGAAAATAAACCATAAACCAGACTTCAAACATGCAATTTATTTGGTTTTTATTATCCTGTATGCTGTCACGCTAAATGACAGTGTTGTACATTCACACAAGCAATCAGAATGAATACAAATATGATGATAACCAAAAACCTTGTTTCAGAGAAGCCAATATTATTCTTTCTAGGAAACCTGCTGTGGAAACATTCCATTAATTTCCTAATTAAATGAAATCTCATTTTTCAGTCACTAGATAATACAGAGATTGTAGAACTGATTCTACAACACCCCTCTGTGTTTAAAAATGTAGAGGACTGTTGAGGCAATAAACATAATGAATGTTGTGGATGTCATATTATATCTGTCATAAAAGTTGTAGCAAATATTTTAATGCTGCTCTACACAATATTCTGGCATTTCCACTGACAATCTTGGGATATAGAATTAAAAAATGGCACCCAGAGAACACTTAACAGCAGTTCAATGCCAAAACTGGGGGATGTAATTTGAGTGGCTTTCCACAGGAGTCAATTACTATCCAATATTCACAGAAATTATTCAATTGCTGAACTCTTATTATAGTCACAGATAGTATGAACAACATGGCCTGCAAGTCCATCAAACCACAGGATCATCATTTGCAACTGTGGTCAAAAGGCCTGGAAAGGTAATTTAGTAGGCACAAACACAAGTTTCTGCACTACTGCCAGAAAAATAAAGAATGCACACAGGGAACAACAAGTTAGAGAAGAATTCTGCAGAAAAGACCCTGAAGGTCACAGCAGTCTTTCAGAGACTGGTCACTGGTCAAGGAGCTCATTCTGCTGTAATAAAGACAACCCTCGCACTGGCATAAAAATGTATCTCCTTAGGGAAGCTATCTTCCTTTGAGAAAAGGCTAATAAATGGTGGTGTTCTGGCTGGAAAGGGCAAAGTGAAGGAAAACAGTCTTAAAGGAGAGGGAAAAGGTCTGTTCTGCATGATCATGATGACTAAAACAAAAAAGCAGAGTTTACAAGGCTGCTGGGCGGAAAATTCAGGTTTAACATAAAGAGAAGCCTCTTAACTATAAGGTCAGGGTGATGGACATCTTTCCTCCTCCCAAATCACTTCTAAAACCAGGAAGCAGACTGGAGGGACACAGAGCTCAGCCCTCTGGGGCAGGAGCTGGGGAGTCAGGGACCTCTGGTCTCCCAGTTGCTCCTCAGACAACTCTTAACAGGGAGGGGGAGATAGGAGATCCCATCATTACATAAAGTAAAGAAAGGCTGTTCACTGAGTAATTGGGAAGGCGCAGGGGATTGCCAGGCAGAGGCATGAGCTGGCAGAGGGAATTAGGAACAGATTGGGTTCTTTTCCATTGCAGTTGTAGGGAAAAGCACAGAGGAACCTGCAGGTAACCCAGCTGGCTCACTGTTCCAGCTCTCCTCCCCAGTCCGGAAAGATCCAGCGTGGCAAACTATGAGGGATAACTCATAGTAATTTTCCACTCACCTCATCAGCATTTTAATGGTAAAGTCTAATCTTCCAAATGTAATACATGCCATTTGTAAAATCCTTCTAGCTTGGAATATCACAAGCATCACACCCACTGAATTGGGTGAATACAACAATTTTCAAGCCACAGTGAATCAAAGTACTTAAAAGCTTTGAAGAATCTAATTTTTTTAATCAACTCAAGTCCCTGGTCCTGGAACAGAACTAGGACAATAAATCCCAGATTAGGAGACTATAAACAACGGGTACATGACTTCATGAACTTTTAATACCAAGAAATGCTAAATGTTTTTCTACACAGAGATCCAGAAGAGTGCCTATTCTATCATACCTGCGCTATATTCACACCTGAAACTACAGCAATTAGGAAAAAGAAAATTCTTGCACATAAAGTCATAGCATCTTCGTTTTCCTTCAGGCTTTATTTATAGTCTCAGACTACTGTATATATTTTGTTGAAATCTGACTCATTTTGAGAATTACAACATGCTAAGAGCTATGGACAAAACTGCCTTTACCAGACATGCTGGAAAAAATTCCCTTGAATTTCTCCCCCTGGCAAGGTCAAGCCTGACTTTGCTGGCAGAGAGAAGTCTGCTTTCTCAGTCTGCTTTCAGTGAAGCTCTGGTTTCAGAGCTTCTAATTGCAGTGTCCCCAACTGCAACAGTCCTGGCCCTTGGCCAGGAAACTCCTATTTTAGGATTCCCAATATGCCTGCTCTCCTTGGCAGAGCTGTGCTCAGTGGGATTACGTGCTAGCCCTGCTGGAGCTCTTCCTTCTCCCCTGGCCACTGGATGGACCCCAGGTGTTCCATCCTCCTCCCACCCCACATGGTTTCTGTGATGTGTCTGTCTGTCTGTCTCCTTTACAGAGAGTTTCTCTCAGCCAGTCCTGCACTTACTGAATGGAAATGCCCACAAAAACCAGACCCTTCCCCTTGTTACCTTTCCTTCTATCAATCTAAAATTCCCTTCCCAGTTTCTCATCTTTTAGTTGCTAAGATCTGCACACCAATACTTCAGCTCTCTATTCTGCTTCTAGAGGTATGTCAAAGCTCAAAATCCCATAGCTCCCCAAACTAAAGAAAACATTTTCCCTTGACTTTTGTTTCACTGTCTCAAAGTGTCTCATGCTGCATCCATGACATACTGGGAAATGATTCTCCATGGCCATACTTCAAGAGACTGATCTCGCCCCTTAGAACGTGGAATGGGACTCCGCAAGTTTATGGGGCCAGTGGTGGGCACTTTTTATTTCAATGCATTTCCCTTCAGTTTATGATCCCATACCATCCAGAATTAAAGCAAGAATACCAACTGTGACCTGGAAAAGAGAAATGCCAGATTTACATTTTTCTTTCCCGTAAAGCCCAGCTGTGCTATCGTGTTCTGTCTGTATGTTTAGATTTGGTGCATCATTTGAAAAATCAAAATTAATTGTGTAATGATATATAACATTCATTTCCCAACAATGGTTTCATCAGAATATTCCTGGTAAGGACAGAATACTGCAATTTCATTACCCCTACAAATGTGTACTGCAAGATGTTTACTGCTATAATATAAAGTCAAAATGAGAAATTATCATTAACCAGAGTATATTTCATACTCCATTCTTTCTACTACATTCACTGATTCACTGACTAATTGGAGAAAATGAGTAGCTCTCAAACAAATCTTCAAGCTATTAATGTAAATTGGCAATTCTATATATGGCTCAAAATTTGTATCATTAAATTGTCCCCAAGCCCTAATGAAGAAGATAGGACGAAGAAGCAGAGGGATTATTAGAGTATTGAGAAAATCATGCAGTTCTATTTCTTGGTAGAGGTTTATTTCATGGCAAGCTTTCAAGGAACCAAGGTTCCTTTTTGCATGCAGTACTGAACAGTAAGCCGTGGAGTTCAGTGTCCGTACCTACAGTATGCACATAACTTATGTCCGCATATATATATGAGAATATATATCTTTTTTCATACTGATAAGAAAAAGAGAGAAAATAGAGATATATAATCTCTACATTTTGCCTATTTGAAGAGGATTCATGAGAGTTAGCAACATATCCTTTGACTAAATACCATAAATGCAGATGAACATAACTATTTTATAGGCCTCCAGGAACTGCTTAAGACTGCATTGGATGACAGAGATTACCAGGAAAGAGGAGAAAACTGGCACCTGATGCAATGGTTTACATAAAAATGCTCATTTCTACTTAGTTTTACTCAATAGAAACAAATAGTGGCATGAAGGATGAGACAAGAGTGAGGCAAGCTTAGATTATTCCTCAAAGAGATCACACACATTACAAAATCTGTGTGCCATGATCCTGTACTGAAATGTTTTATGCAGTAAGATCATGATCATGTGGGGGGCCTTCAAGTTCAAGATCTGTTTCAGGGTTTTTTCTCTTCTTCAGAATACTGCTCAACTTCAACAAGAAGAGAAAGTTCCGATCTATATCTTTGTTCAGAAATAGACAATCTTCCTGTTTCCCCCATTTTCCACTGACTGGTACCACTGTAAACCAGTGACACCTATGGCTCACCTTAATAGTTCTATCTGCAGCCACTGCTTCCCTCATCCCTGTTGCCAGCAATCTCTACAGGAGAGGAAATACCCCCAGCAAAGGTTATTCTCTCTCAAACAGGAGA